ATTGTTTCTGTAAGTGTTCTTCAAGATGTGTTGCATGTGTACATTCCATGATACACACCCTCGTTCTCCTCTATATTGGAGTCTTTCCGGTAAGAAGAAGGTGGGAGGTGGGGTTTGAGTTGGGGGTGGTTCTGCCTTTTACCATTGCACAGCAGTGTGAGGCAGTATAGGGCACATGCGCTGCCCCCATGTGTACTGCTGAGAGAAAATCTCCAACAGTACACTGGATGCACACACACCTGAAGTGGAATGGATGTGTGCAACACATTTCGAACAACAGTTACAGAACAGGTTAGTAACCATTTCTTATTTTGCAGTCCCCATTCTGCCTGTTTGTCTATATTTACTTGATTTGGCCTTTGTCTGTCTGCTTGTTAATTTTGGAATCACTTTCTAAAAATGCATGTAGAAAATCATGTTGACTAAAAATTTAAATACTGGTATATTTTAGGGATCAAATTAGTTATTCTTCTTTCTGATCACTAGTTCAGGTCCAGTACTTGGAAGAGTTTACTGATCCTGAAAGTAGTTTTTTCTCTTCCTACCACTAAGTGGGAAGTTATTCTAGCTCAGGCAAGCCATAAGGTGATGGTCCTATGCAATCCTGTTTTTCTGACTACTTTGTTTTTTTCTATTTTTTGTGATATTTTTGTATTGACTTATAATATGAAAACACAAAAAATTGAAAAAGTTAAATAACGTACTGCTGGGATATGTTTCCAAATACCACATACTTCGTAGGGTCTCCAGTAGAATTATGCAGTTTTACAACTCATCAAAGCTGCACGACCAGATAATACAAAACCAAACAACAGTAGATAGACATAACACATTAGGGTGGGAGTTACAGTAGAAAAATAGGAGAAGACATAAATAGGAAAAGGAGGGTAGGAAGGGACTTGGGAGGGGAGGGAAAGGAGGAAGGGAGGAGCTAGGTGGATTGGAGGTCTGGTATTTAGTAGTTTCAATGATTTGTATCCGAATGTATCTAAAAATGGGGTCTAATTTCTTCGAACTCATAACTTGGCCATGAGTTTTAGCAGCTTATATCTGAGGCCTTGGCTACACTCAGGACTTCCCAGCACTGCCGCGGCGGCGCGAGTGTAGTCGCGCCATGCTGTAAGTACTTCACCTCTCTGAGGGGAATAGCGTGCAGCGCTGCGAGCGAGTGAGCTCTGATTACACTGGCACTTTACAGCGCTGTACTCGCTGTGCTCGGGGGGGGGGGGGCGTTTTTACACCCCTGAGCGCAGCAAGTTGCAGCGCTGTACAGCACCAGTGTAGCCAAGGCTTAAGAGTTTAGAGTGGAAAGTTTCTGTTGTGTGGGCTTGGCAAAAAAATACATTCTCTGTTTGATCCAGCTGGGTGGCTGTAGAGTGGTAGCTGCTGGCTGGGAGCTTAGCTCTGAAGGCAGTGCCACCGTGCCACCGCTAGCAGCAGCACAGAAGTAAGGATGACATGGTATGGTATTTCCACCCTTCTGTGTTGCGGCCTTCAGAGCTGGGTCCTCAGCCAGCAGCTGCCACCATCTCTAAAGGCCGCAGTGAAGAAGGGTGGCATGGTATGGCACTCTGCACTGCTGCTGGCAGGGTACTGCCTTCAGAGCTGGGCACCCAGCCAGCAGCCGCCGCTCTCCAGCCACCCAGTTCTGAAGGCAGCGTTGCTGCCCGCCGTAGGCGCAGAAGTAAGTGGGGCAATACCATGACCTCCCTACAATAATCTTACGATTTCCCCCCTCCCCATGACCCACTTTTGTGTTGGGACCCCCAGTTTGAGAAATGCTAGTCTCCCCTGTGAAATCTGTATAATATAGGGTAAAAGTACACAAACGACCAGTTTTCCTGGGGAAGATCGTGTTTTCACGGCCGTGAATTTGGTAGGGCCCTAACTATAGGGCAGGTTCCCAGGCTCAGACTTGTCTATCTTCCTTGGGATGTAGGATGCCTTTGTACAGCTGCCCTAGACCCTGAAATGGTTGTTTGAACCCCTCTGAGATATCCCATCTCCTAGAACTGGAAGGGACCTTGAAAGGTCATCGAGTCCAGCCCCCTGCCTTCACTAGCAGGACCAAGTACTGATTTTGCCCCAGATCCCCAAGTGGTCCCCCTCAAGGATTGAACTCACAACCCTGGGTTTAGCAGGCCAATGCTCAAACCACTGAGCTATCCCTCCCCCCAGCCACTTGAGTCGCTTGCATGTGCTCCCTCAGAGTTCCACCTAGGTTGTAAGTACTCTGGGTTTCTAGTTTAACCCTTTCGGGGACTACATGGCAGGAAAGCAAGGAACACAGGCATAGCAAAGGATTTTCTTAACCACAGAGATTTTACTTCTAAATGACTCAGAGTTACAGATCTTTGAAAATAACACAAGTCCTGAGACATACTCTCCCTTAGTCTGAGCTCACTTTTTCTGTGAGCCTGAGGTTCGGCAGCATTTCAGGCTGGGCACGGTCCATCCTGTCCTCTCTTCCTTGCAAGTCATAAGAATATAAGAACGGCCATACCAAAGGTCCATCTGGCCCAGCATCCTGTCTTCCAACAGTGGTCAATACCAGGTGCTTCATAGGGAATGAACAGAACAGGTAATCATCACGTGATCCATCCCCTGTCGCCCATTCCCAGCTTCTGGCAAATAGAGGCTAGGGACACCTTCCATGTCCATCCTGGCTAATAGCCATTGATGGACCTATCCTACATGAATTTATCTAGTACTTTTTTGAACCCTGTTATAGTCTTGGCCTTCACAAGATCCTCTGGCAAAGAATTCCAGAGATTGACTGTATATTGTGCAAAGAAATATTTTTTTTGTTTATTTTAAATCTGCTGCCTATTAATTTCATGGGTGACTCCTAGTTCTTGTGTTTATGAGAAGGAGTAAATAACACGTCCTTATTTACTTTCTCCACACCCGTCATGATTTTTTAGGCCTCTATCATATCCCCCCTTAGTTGTCTTTTTTCCAAGCTGAAAAGTCCCAATCTTAATTGCTCCTCATACAGAAGCTGTTCCATATCCCACTTAATTTTTCTTGCCCTTTTCTGTACCTTTTCCAACTCCAATATATCTTTTTGAGATGGGGCGACCACATCTGCACGCAATGTTCAAGATGTGGGCGTACCATGGATTTATATAGAGGCAAGATGATATTTTCTGTCTTCTTAGTCCCTTTCTTAATGATTCTCAACATTCTGTTCGCTTTTTTGCTGCTTCACATTGAGTGGATGTTTTCAGAGAACTATCCACGATGACTCCAAGATCTTTCTTGAGTGGTAACAGCTAATTTACCTGTATAGTTTTATATTTATATTTCATTTTATATTTATCATGGGGTTATGTTTTCCAATGTGCATTACGTTGCATTTATCAACATTGAATTTCATCTGCCATTTAGTTGCTCAGTCACCCAGTTTTGAGAGATCCCTTGTAACTCTTTGCAGTCTGCTTTGAACTTAATTATCTTGAGTAGTTTTGTATCATCTGCAAATTTTGCCACCCAACTGTTTTCCCCTTTTTCCAGATCATTTATGAATATGTTGAACAGTACTGGTCCCAGTACAGACCCTTGGGGAACACTACTATTTACCTGTCTCCATTCTGAAAATTGACCATTTATTCCGACCCTTTGTTTTGTATCTTTTAACCAGTTACTGATCCAGGAGAGCACCTTCCCCCTTATCCCATGACAGTTTACTTTGCTTAAGAGCCTTTGGTGAGGGATCTTGTCAAAATCTGAAAATCTAAGTAAATTTTATATCCACTGGATTCCCCTTGTCCACATGCTTGTTGACTAGAATTCTAGTAAATTGGTGAGGCATGATTTCCCTTTACCAAAACCATGTTGATTCTTCCCCAACAAATCATGTTCATCTATGTGTCTGATAATTTTGTTCTTTATTATAGTTTCAACCAATTTGCCTGGTACTGAAGTTAGGCTTACTAGCCTGTAATTGCTGGCATCACCTCTGGATCCTTTTTAAAAAAAATTGGTGTCACAGAAGGTACTCTCCAGTCATCTGGTACAGAAGCTGATTTAAACTATAGGTTACATCCCACAGTTAATAGTTCTGTAATTTTACATTTTTAGTTCCTTCAGAACTCTTGTATGACTACTGTGTGATCCTGGTGACTTATTACTGATTAGTTTATCAATTTGTTCCACAACCTCCTCTAATGACACCTCAATCTAGTACAGTTCCTCAGATTTGTCACCTAAAAAGAATGGCTCAGGTTTGGGAATCTCCTTTACATTCTCAGCCTTGAAGACCAATGCAAAGAATTCATTTAATTTTTCTGCAATGGCCTTATCGTCCTTGAGTGCTCCTTTAGCATCTTGATCAGTCAGTGGCCCCACTGGCTGTGAAGCAGGCTTCCTGCTTTTGATGTACTTAAAATTTTTTTTGCTGTTACTTTTTGAATCTTTGGCTAGCTGTTCTTCAAATTCTTTTTTGCCCTTCCTAATGTGTGCTCCTTACATCCTTGTGTGGGGATGGTCAGGTGTCAGGATCCTGCTCCTACATTAGTCCTCTATCTCTTTGATGTGCTGTCATGTTGACAAGCTTCAGCTTCACCAGTCATGCTTGTCTGTTTTTGTGGGCCCCTGTGTAGAGAGACCATTGCTCCATGGGGGTGGGCCAGTAATTGACATAATCTAAATTGATGTCCTCACATTGCTGTCTGATGGTTTAGGGATAGTCCTTCAGTGAAGTGTCAAAAAGCTTTCTCAGGCACTGCTACTGTCTGGGCATGTCCAGACATGTTACAGTGTCCAGTATTTCCATAGATAGTACATGACTGAATTAATAATTTGATGCAGACATATCCCACTGTATCACGGTGATATCTTCAAAATGTGTAAATTTAAAAAACACATTTGGTAAATGTTATCCCACTTTGCATGGCAGCTAATCAGTATAGTTCAGTTCTGCTCTGTTTACATCCAGTGTATTTTTAAAGAAACTAATTGTTACTAATATTGATATTCCTCACCTCTTTACATTTTAGCTGTCCCTTTTCCACCAACACATCGCTTGACATCTGAAGAAGTGTTTGATATAGATGGAAAACCTAGGGCTGACATTTTGAAGAATCACTTAGTAAAAGAAGGTCGGGTAGATGAAGAAATTGCACTTAGAATCATCAATGAGGGTGCTGCAATTCTACGAAGAGAGAAAACTATGATAGAAGTTGAAGCCCCAATTACAGGTAATACCTTTAGTTTATTTCTTTGATGCTTAAAGTAAAAATTTCACATCATTTTCATTAGAAGGCCTTTTCTTGGGGGGAAATAAATGTAAAGATATCTTTATCATAACAATCATATTGAACTTTCCCTCAGAACTGCTTTTGTATAACTCTCCTTGAGTACTCGACATAATGTTGCATCAAAAAATGATGTGGAAGAAAGGAAGGAATAAAACATGTTTGGGAAAAGCAGTAGGACTGTTAATACAATGTCAGCAGGCAAAGCAGTTTTTGTAATCATTGTAACAATAATAAATGTTACTAAAAGATGTAATAATCCAGAAGAGAAAAATGAGCTTCAAAGAGAAGATTGGAATTGCAGTCTAAAATTTGTGGGATGGTGCTAGAGCATCCATTTGCTGAAATAAATATTTTGAACAGGAGTTGTGAATGAGGAATATTCATGATTGTTTTGCCCTAAGAATCCAAGTTTTCATGTGAAATGTGATGATCTCTTGGTAGTCTTAACTCAAACAAGTTAAGACCAACCTGATAAAATTGTTGTGTATTATAATACAATAGATAGGACCTGATCCAGTTGGAAAGTTGAAATGGCTTTTGTTTTTGAAAAGATACTGTAATGTTTTCAGGTTCTGACCAGTCACAGACCATATTTGATTTGCATAAAGATGCTACTTTAATCTTTTTAACTTTTTTTATTTTGACACAAATAACCAGATAGAAAATATCATAAATAAATATATAGCTGCCATTCAGAGTGAATACAAATTGATTATTTATGGGATCTTTTTTCAGATATTTTAAATGTTTAAATTAAATACATTTTTCTTTTAAAAATAAACCTGTTCATAATTTCAAATTCAATTTAACCTATGTTTAGGTCTAAACTTATTATGCTCTATTAAAATCATTACAGTTGAATTAAAAAAATAATTTAGTAGTACATGTTTGCTGCCAAAGTCTTCAAGAAAGTCAAACCATTGAACTGGTGGAAGTCATTGACTAAATACTTGGAACCAGAGTTTGTTAAATTGTTAAACCAGCTTTTGATAGCAGTCACCTCTTCTGCAGGTGTAGAGAGAATACTCTCTTCATTTCAATTTATTCAACTGGTTCACTTCAATGAATAGCTCATTCAGAGTTGAGAACCAATTGGGAATTGAAAAAAGCAGGAGAGCTTGTCTTCCTCTCCCAAGCTATCAATAAAAATGAAGTAGGAGGAGATGAGTTCTGAAATCTTGACAAACTTGCTGACCAGAAATAATCAGTTCAATTCACTAATTGCTGGTAAAACTTCCTTTGTTTAAAAAATCAGTTAGTTTTACATGTAAAATATGTTTTGATAAACATTTTTGAACTATAAAAATAATTTAAAATAATTGTGCATATTTAATTAAATTCTAATTTCCATCCCAATGCAGTTTGACATGCGTAAAAAATTAATCCTCTAGTAAATAAAGAAATGTCATTCACAGTTTTTAAAAATAACTGAAAATTAAGAATTTGACTAAATGTATGTTAAACTATATAAATGAGTAAATAAATGTGTCTAGATCATAGAATCATAGAATATCAGGGTTGGAAGGGACCTCAGGAGGTCATCTAGTCCAACCCCCTGCTCAAAGCAGGACCAATTCCCAACTAAAGCATCCCAGCCAGGGCTTTGTCAAGCCTGACCTTAAAAACCTCTAAGGAAGGAGATTCCACCACCTCCCTAGGTAACCCATTCCAGTGCTTCACCACCCTCCTAGTGAAAAAGTTTTTCCTAATATCCAACCTAAACCTCCCCAACTGCAACTTGAGACCATTACTCCTTGTTCTGTCATCAGGTACCACTGAGAACAGTCTAGATTTAGCGTGTCCTACTTGTTAGCAAAAAAATACCAAATTTAGTGTAAAGGCTATATTTAGTTGTAAATCAACATGTTTTATTGTTTACCAGCCAAGAAGAATGAACCTTTCTTTAGGAAAGTATGTTGTGTCTCTGAAGTTAGTTTATAAATGTCATTTTTTCCATAAATAATAGACTTCTTGTTCATTAAAACAGTATTTTTGTTTCAGTGTGTGGTGATATTCATGGCCAGTTCTTCGATCTAATGAAGCTGTTTGAAGTTGGAGGATCACCAGCTAATACAAGATACCTCTTCCTTGGTGACTATGTAGACAGAGGTTATTTTAGTATAGAGGTAACTGCATACATTAATTTGTTCTGTCCTAAACCTTACTGTAAGAAAACATTTTTTATCTTCTTGTAAAATACACAGTTCTTCTGACCTCTGAATGTGAATTCTTCCTTGTTATGCTTCATACCATTCCAAAGACCTGTTGACCAAGAGATATTGACTAGTGCCTCAGCCTGCCCTTTTGGAACCACCAGTCCTACTGATTTCCCCACCTTCCCATAGCCATCTTTGCAGAGGATGGACTATAGGGCATCTGTAGCATTCACAATCTATGCTGCTCCATTAACATATAGCCAGGGGCACTAAGTATGTTGTATGTATCCTGTTGATTCTGAAATTGTCTCAAGTTTCATTGGTCCAGGAGTTTGGAAGCGTTGGAGAATTGGTCCAGAAAGAGTTGGATGGTAGATTACATTTAGAGTTTAACTTGACAATGTCTTTAAATTTTAAAGTTAATGTAAAAAAAAAAGTTTGACACAAATTAAGTTGTAAATATATTTGTTGGCATCCCTTTTTAAGTAGTCCTATGCTAGGGCATGATGCATGCTATTTTGTAGTGTTTTAAAATTGTAATGTTTCAGGAGCAGTATGCATATGTGTACCATTCAGGTGTGTGCACAGAGCTGTTTTGCGTTGTTAGGTGTGATAAGCAAAAGATAATGCAGTGATGCCTCAGAAATCAACATATAAAGAAAAGTTAAAATGAAAGACACTCCCCACAGCATTCCTTGAATCTTCATGACCTGTTTTGGTTGATTACAGAAATGCTTCTGCTTATAGTGTAAACACTGTTCTTGACAGAGGTGAAGGCTGTATTTGCATCCTTGCAGAACATCTGGAAACAATGTATCTTAAAACATTGGACCTTATTCAAGCTTTACAACCACAAGAGCAATGAAATGCTTTGGAGATGGGACTATATTCAGTATTTAATAAAAGCAGACTCATTTTATCCCCGCAGGCAGTGGGGACTTTTTTTCTTTTTAATAATATGCTTTTTAATAATATGCATATTAGCCAGTATAAACTTTAAAAAAACACTCAATAGTTCATAAAAAGACTTGCCTTTTTCCCATAGAATGACTTGCTTGCTTCATTGCTGTACAGAGTGTCTACTAATGGATCAGCACAGTTCATAGTTTGGTATTTGACTGGAGCAGGATTGCTGCAAGAGCATGGGAGGGCTATGCTTTGTGGACCTATGCAAAGGATGGAAAAGTATATTAAAATTACCTCCACCTCTGAAATTCCTGCTTTAGTCTTTGTTTGGTTATCCAACAGCTTATATTCAGTTTGACCTGGGCCTTTTTAAAATTATGTTTTTGATCACTTTTAAATCTCTTAGCTTGTTGTGTCTGTAATATTTGGTAAATAAAATGTTCAGTCCCTGATAGAAAAATGCTTGGTCTTTATTTTAATTTTGTGCTCAGAGACCTATTCTCACACAGTTCATTTTGAAGCATGTGTATTTCAGTAATTCTTTCCAGAGTTAAAATAAAACCTTAGTCTAGAGCAGGGATTCATAGTCCTTAGAATCATAGAAGATTAGGGTTGGAAGAGACCTCAGGAGGTCATCTAGTCCAATCCCCTGCTCAAAGCAGGACCAATACCAACTAAATCATCCCAGCCAAGGCTTTGTCAAGCCGGGCCTTAAACACCTCGAAGGATGGAGATTACACCACCTGCCTAGGTAACCCATTCCAGTGCTTCACCACGTTCCTATTGAAATAGTGTTTCCTAATATCCAACCTAGACATCCCCCACTGCAACTTGAGACCATTGCTTCTTGTTCTGTCATCTGCCACCACTGAGAACAGCCGAGCTCCATCCTCTTTGGAAACCCCCTTCAGGTAGTTGAAGGCTGCTATCAAATCCCCTCTCACTCTTCTCTTCTGCAGACTAAACAAGCCAAGTTCCCTCAGCCTCTCCTCATAGGCCATGTGCCCCAGCCCCCTCATAATTTTTGTTGCCCTCCGCTGGACTCTCTCCAGTTTGTCCACATGCCTTCTGTAGTGGGGGCCCCAAAACTGGATGCAGTACTCCAGGTGTGGCCTCATCAGTATATAGAATCATAGAATATCAGGGTTGGAAGGGACCTCAGAAGGTCATCTAGTCCAACCCCCTGCTCAAAGCAGGACCAATCCCCAGACAAATTTTTGCCCCAGATCCCTAAATGGCCCCCTCAAAAGTTGAACTCTCAACCCTGGGTTTAGCAGGTCAATGCTCAAACCACTGAGCTATCCCCCCCCCCAACCCTATCAGTGTCGAATAGAGGGGAATAATCACTTCCCTCAATCTGCTGGCAATTGTTCCTACTAATACAGCCCAATATGCCGTTGGCCTTCTTGGCAACAAGGGCACACTGCTGACTCATATCCAACTTCTCGTCCACTGTAATCCCCAGGTCCTTTTCTGCAGAACTGCTGCTTAGCCAGTCAGTCCCCAGCCTGTAGCAGTGCATGGGATTCTTCTTTCCTAAGTGCAAGACTCTGCACTTGTCCTTGTTGAACCTCATCAGATCTCTTTTGGCCCAATCCTCCAATTTGTCTAGGTGACTTCGGACCCTATCCCTACCCTCCAGCATATCTACCTCTCCCCCCAGCTTAGTGTCCTCTGCGAACTTGCTGAGGATGCAGTTAATCCCATCATCCAGATCATTAATAAAGATGTTGAACAAAATCGGCCCCAGGACTAACCTTTGGGGTACTCCACTTGACACCGGCTGCCAACTAGAGATCGAGCCGTTGACCACTACCCATGGAGCCCGACAATCTAGCCAGCTTTCTATCCATCTAGCCCATTTCAGTGCTGCAATAACACTCAGACAGGAGTCATTTTATACAGTATAGACAGATGCCCTAACTTTTAATATCGAAGGGCGAATCCTGTGGAAACTAATGGTTTCAGCATGAAGGTAGTCCAAGCTATTGGATCAAGATGCAGTTAACCTGTAAATTGTCTGTACTGCACTTCCATATTAAAAATAAGGTGCCATTAAGAGTTTTGTGGGTCACACTGGGCCACTCCTCACTTATTTTAAAACAAATGTCAGTGCAGAAAAGGTACTGCTACAACAATTGTGTGTTATTGAAAGGGATTTTTTTGGTTTTATACATACTGTCTGCTGTAAAGGCAAATGTATTTTTACTACTGCATGAATTGACATTAAAGTGCAAATTACCAATGGCTTGTTTAAATAACTCCTAAATGCATATAAATGACTAAAGAATCAAAAGGAAGCTACCATTTTGCCAGTCTCTTCTCTTACCAATATTTGTTTGCTCATTTAATGTACAAATTTACTTAGTGAATAATATTTACTTTTTAAATTTGTAAAAGTCTTTAGCCTTTATCCTTATCTGTTGATTAGTACTTCCTTTGTTACAAACTGTCAGCAGACGGGATTGCAGGCTGGGAAGCATTAATAAAGTGTTAATATTCTTTGAAATACAGTAGAACAACTTATAGCTATGGAAATATTGAAAGACTGGCAGGTAGTTTTTAAAAAATGTGAAGAATTTGTTTAATATACATCTTTTTGTTAAGGATTGTTTTTCTGTCAGATATTTGAATTAATCTTTGGGGTCTTTCTTTATGTTAAGTATTTTGGGATATCTTTTGCAGTAAATGTATCTTTTAAAAAAATTTGAAGTATCCTTTTTTGTGTGAATACACGCTTGCTATTCCCCCCAAAAACAGTTTTCTTTTATTTTTTAAATAAGAGAATAGAGCGAATGATAGATTTAGACTTGTTCTTAGTCTTTAAAAGAAAAAAAACAAATAAAAATAACCTCTGAATCAGGTTGGTGTAGTTTGAAATTTATTTTTTCCTCTATGCTCAATCTAAAAAGTGCATTAGAATACTAAACAAACTGTAAGCCCCAGATTGTCAGTGTTCTTGTCTCAGGTAGTAATGGATCTTAAATTAAGGGAGTTTTTCCTCCTGATGGTCTTCTGAAAATAGGGGGAGTACCGTATATACTCATTCATAAGCCGAATATTTTTGGTAAAAAAAGTAACGCATCAAAGAGTGGGGGTCGGCTTATAAAAGGGTATACACCAAAATGTAATGATTTTAAACTCTCTGGCAGGGGTCGGCAATCTATGGCACACGAGCTCATTTACTGTGGCACGCTGCTGCCAGCCTGGTGTCCCCGCCGCCGGCCTCGCACAGCCCGCTGCCGGCCTGGATGGATGGAACCCCAGACCGGCAGCGGGCTGAGCCGTTCAGCACGCTGCCAGCCTGGGGTCCCAGCCGCCGGTCCGCTCAGCCTGCTGCCAGTCGGGTTCCATCCGCCATCCCTTGTAAATGTAAAACGTATTACGGGCACGCGAAACCTTAAATTACCACGAATAAATGAAGACTTGGCACACCACTTCTGAAAGGCTGCCGACACCTGCTCTATGGAATCATTGAATTGAATATCTAATACACTGTTGTTTTGTTTACATGGAGCATCTGCAGGCCTGGAGCCCCTCTTTCCGCAGCTCCCATTGGCTGGGAACGGCGAACCGCGGCCACAGGGAGCTGAGGGGCTCCATGCCTGCAGACGCTCCCAAGTAAACAAAACGTCCCAACCCGCCAGCGGCTCACACTGACGGGTCGGGAGCCAAAGTTTTCCACCCCCTGAAATATAGGGTTGGCTTATGAAAGGGTCATACAGTTTTTGCTATTTTTACCTATCCATTTTGGGGGGTCAGCTTATAAACAAACGGGCTAATGAATGAGTATATACGGTATGTTTCTTCCTGTAATCCACCGTATACTAAGTCTGATCATTGAATAAGAATTCCAACTTTGCTAAATCACTAATGTTTAACAAATTGTTTTTAAAAATAAAAAGGGCAAAATAATCTCTAGGTGTTCTAGATATAGCTGTTTTAAACATAAGCTTTTTTGTGTCATTGCTTCAGGTTTTACCAAAAAACAGTAACAAAACTCTCTCTGTTACTCTGCCAAATAATCTCTAGAATCTTTACTTTGAGGTCAGATTATATGAACAATAGATGACTCCACAGATAAACTAAATGTCAGTATCTTTTTATCAGTGAACATCCAATGAAGTACATATTTTTCCTGAAGCTTGTTTTTAACTGTTTTTTGAGGAAAGTAAAAACTTGCTTGCATAATTCAGATGCTGAATTTGTCATCTGAATCAGGAGAGCAATGTTATGAAATGATCCTCACTGTCAATATTTGAAATAGTACCTTGAGTGGCACATGTTTGAAGCCATTGTTAATGTTCTTTTACTTCATAAGGGGACAGTGTTTCTGTTGTTAGCAACCTTTCTATAAAAATTATTGTAAATTAATTTGTTTTATCATTGGATACCTTTGTTTTTCAACAGTGTGTGCTGTATTTATGGGTCTTGAAGATTCTGTATCCAAATACATTATTTCTTTTGAGAGGCAACCATGAATGTAGACACCTCACAGAATATTTTACCTTTAAGCAAGAATGTAAGTACTATATAGGAATATAGTATTGAGTTACTACCAAACTAGTATTTTCCGTTCTGTTACAATTATCTCTTGAGAAAAATATCTAAAAATGCTATTAAGGGACTGCTCCTGCAAACATTCTCCTGCATAGTTGTAATGACTTAAATGGAACGACACCTCTACCTCAATATAACGCTGTCCTTGGGAGCCAAAAAATCTTACCGCATTATAGGTGAAACCGCGTTATATTGAACTTGCTTTGATCCACTGGAGTGCGCAGCTCCACCCCCCCCCTCCGGAGCACTGCTTTACCGTGTTATATCCGCATTCGTGTTATATCGAGTTGCGTTATATCGAGGTAGCGGTGTACAAGCAATTATAAGCATGAAGGGAGCAAGTGTGTGCAGAACTGGACTCTGTAAAGGTACATTTTATAGTCTATTTGTCTATTCTATCCATGCAGCTTTTAAAATCTTTTGAGGTTTAATTTTTATGGAAATGTATGTGGAAAATCAGCACAAAAGTCTTTGGCGTTGTCACTAAAAGATCTAAAACTCGCCATTTATACCTTATTATTTTATATAATAGGCTATACTGCATGATTTTCACTTTTCTGAATTATTTAACACTTTTAAAAATAGTTATAACCAGGGTGGATTGGATTTAGATCAAATTGATTTAAATCAAATTGATTTAAATCACTAGTCAGGAAGACTCGATTTAATCATGGATTTCTACATTATAGTGCATTCTTGTTGGTTGTTATAACCTTAATACATATTCTTCACAACTCAGAGATAGATGTAGGTTTTATTTTTAGAAGGTACACACTATACATTTTTAAAGTGATTTATTTTGAAAACTTTTCAGATTAGTTTTACAGCTATATCAGAAAATGAATGATTGTTTGGTTATTTCATTTATTGAAGGTAATTGAAGCAGTTCATCTCCCAATTACTTCATAAATATCTATCTCCAATTCAACAGGTTAATCATTAGTATTTGGAGGATTTTCTTGCCATGCTGTATTAGGAGGAGAACATCACCAGATAGACATTTAAATTAATTTATTTAACTAAAACAACAGTGTTATGTATTCTGGATTTTTTTTCTTCAACAACAAACATATAATATTTTAACAAAACAAGCATATGAATTTTTGAATTTAGTTAAACATTCAAGTTTTTTAAAATTCAGGTTTGTTTTTGTTAAAATTGTTTTTTAACTAAAATAATTAAATGAAATATTTAAAAAGAAAACAAAAATTAAATCGTCAGCCACGTCAACATGAGAAACTTAAAATATTGGCTTCTGCAGCTAACTCAGTCGTCTTCACCTTCATTTTCTTGTTTGTTCATAATCTGGAAAAGAAAAACAAGCTTTCCTGCTTTTTCAGGTCCCAAATGATTTCTCAATTTGGAACTGAAGTCTTTGACTAGGAGGTGCATCAAATGAGCACTGCAACCATATGTTATTAGCTTGGGACTCTCTTCTAAATAATTTCTTTTCATCTTGGATACATTTGCAGCATTGTCTGTGACCAAACTGCATACTAGACATTTTAATTTTTTTTCACAGTTTGTTATAGCTTTTACTGCTACTTTTTGTAAGTATTCTGCTGTGTGTGCATTTCCTGATGTATCATTTGTTTCTGTAAGGAAGACATTCCGTTTTTCTGTTGTCACACAAGCACATACAACAGGATCATTGTGAACATTGATTCACCCATCAAGACTCAAGTTAACAATTTTACCCTCTAGACCTTTTGCACACTGCTCAATTTCTCTTTCATACACTTTATCCAGCAATTTGCCTGCGACATCTGCTCTGGTGGGTGGACTGTAGCCTGAACCATGTTAATGAAGTGTGGGTTCACAATCATACAAACATTTTTTTCATCAATTACCTCTTTTTGTAATCTGCTGGTTCTTCTTTGAGTGATTGTTCATGTCCATTCCAATTAGGTGTGCGTGCTCTGCGAGCACGGACATCGGAAACGTCTTCCCTTAGCAGCTCCCGTCGAGATGGCAGGGAAGCCCACTAGAGTGGCGCCCTTGTGACTGCGTATATAGTATCCTGCCGGCCCGACCCTCTTCAGTTCCTTCTTACTGTCCGTGGCGGCGTTAGAACGTTCTCTCTTGCTTGTGAGTGACCCCTTAGCCTTTCAGTCTTCTAGTTAGAGTTGTTCTTAGATAGTTATCAGTTAGTTAAATACCAATTTATTCAGGTGTCTGGAAGCTAGTTCCAGCACCAGCCTTGGGCTGGGAGGGATGCTGCAAGCCCAGGGTTTCAAAGCTTGCGCCATGTGCCACAAGTCTATGCTCAATAGCGACCCCCACGACTCCTGTCTCCAGTGTCTGGGAGAGGCTCATCAGGCAGAGTGCTGCAAAATCTGCAAGGCCTTCAAACCGTGCACTAAGAAAGAAAGAGACTTTCATCTTAAGCAGTTGCTCATGGAAATCCGCGTTACAACCACCGTCCCCAGACCGATCGGCACCAGGCCCGGCTTCCTCGGTGCAAAGTGCCCTGGCATCAGTGCGTGATCCAGCACCGCCCAGGCACCGTAAATCACTGGCACCGAGGCAGGATGACCAACCTCAGCACTGGTCGACCTCTCTGGCACCGACTAAGCGTCACAAGAAAGGCAAAAGAGGGTGCTCTCCCCAAAGAGCTGCCAAGGTGCTCAGAGAGGCTCCCAGCAAGCAAAGACAGATTGCGGGCCCGAGCCAAGAACTGGCATTGTCGACTCCTGTGCCACAGGCCCCGTTGAGTCTGGTACCCAGCGAGTTCAGTGCCGATGAATGTCTGGAGGAGGTCCTGGAACACCCCTCTACGCCCAGCATTTTCGAGGCAGCGAAAGACCTCATTGAGCTGTCGGCACCAAATCCCCTCCTGTGCAGGGAGAAGCCTCCGGCACTGCCAAAGAGGGTGCGGTCCAGAGGGAAGCCGGCAATGGTGCTCCGCTCGAGGTCACCATCTCGGCACTGCTCACGACACCATTCCCATTCGAGCTTGGTGTCCCGCTACTCCCCAGCACCTGCGATCCAATGCGAGATTACGGCACCGGAGGCGAACCTACCAGTGGTACCTGCAGTGACTACACGCTGGTCCACGACACCATCGGTCGCCCGGCACTGGAGCTCGCCACCAGCAACCTCACTGGCACCGAATGAGAGGCACTAGTCCCGGTCCCGAGACTCCCAGTACCTTTCGCAGTCCCAGTCAGCCAGGCACCGCTCCCCGGCCTGCACCTCGTGGCCGCTCAACATTCAGCACTGCCCTGGTCCTCTCCATCAGCATCCTCCGGCTCCAAGGCCGACTCCGGTCAGTCCAGCTATAGCAGACATTGAACTGTGGCCAGCAGAGACTCCCACTCAGCATGGCAGCCACAGTGGCCTCCTCCGGGTCAGTGGCCCTTCTGGACCCTATGGGCCTACCATCATCTCCAGAGCCTCCAGGTCCGGGCACTCCATGCAATGCCATTCCAAGTCGCTACACAGGCGATCCTTAATAGACATAACTTCAACTCTTGGGCCATGTCCAAGTTTAAGGATCGCTTGCCTCAGGACTTGTACTCGGAGTTTGCTGCGTTAATTGAGGAAGGAAAGGCGGTGACTAAGACCTCCCTCGATTCAGCTGACAGAACCATTGCCTCGGGGGTAATCATGCGACACTCAGCGTCAGGCCTCCCTCCAGAGGTCCAGAACACCTTCCAAGATCTCCCCTTCGAGGGCTCGGGCCTTTTCTCGAAGCAAACAGACCCCTGCATGGCCTTAAGGACTCCAGGGCCACCCTGAAGTCGCTAGGGATGCATACGCCGCAACCCAGATAAAGCCTTTCAGGCCTCAGCCTCCACAGCAGAGGCAGTATCAACCCTGCCCCAGACAGAAGCCGTATTGAAGGCGGGGCAGAAACAGGCATAGACAGCAGAATAAACCTGCCTAACAAAGGCCAGAATAAATCCCAGCCCGGAAACAAGCAAGGTTTTTGAAGGCGTGCTCAAGGACAGTGTACCAACCCAGTACCTGGATCCATCCCCTCGGTTTTTAAACCGGCTATCCCACTTCTACCGTACGTGGTCCCGTATAACATCGGATGGCTGGGTCCTACACATGGTACAGGTGGGATACTCCCTCCACTTCTTCTCCTTCCCTTCCTCCCACCCACTTTCCCCGTCCCTCTTCAGGGGCCCCTCTCATGAGCAACTCCTTATGTAGGAGGTCCGTTTGCTCCTCGAGATAGGGGTGGTGGAGGAGGTTCCACAGGAGATAAGGGGAAAGGAGTTTTATTCCCGTTACTTCCTAATCCCCAAGGCAAAGGGGTTTCTCTGACCCATTTTAGACCTTCGCGGACTCAACAAATTTATGGTCAAACTCTGGTTCCGCATGGTCTCCCTAAACACTGTAATCCCATCACTGGATCCGGAAGTTTGGTATGCTGCCCTCTACATGAAGGACGCCTATTTCCACATCGCCATCCATCCGGCGCACTGCCGCTTTCTCGGGTTTGTCATAAACCAACATCACTACCAGTTCACTGTTCTCCCATTTGGCCAGTCTACAGCCCCCTGAGTGTTCACGAAATGCATGGCTGTGGTGGTGGCCTTCCTGCGGAAAAGGCAAGTTCGAGTGTACCCGTACTTCCGCTACTGACAGGTCATTCCAAGGACAAGGTCCAGTCCCACGTGACAATGGTCATGGACACCTTTCACAGACTGGGACGACTCCTCACTGTACCCAAATCGTCACTCTCACCTACCCAAAGGATAGAGTTCATGGGGCAGTCCTAGACTTGGTACAGGCAAAAGTGAGCCTTCCAGAGACCAGGTTCCAAGCCATAGAGCAGATTGTCAAAACAATGCTTCAATATCCCACCACGACAGTCAGGTGTTGCCTGCAGCTAATAGGGTATATGGCAGCATGCATGCATTTATGGGGTCAAACATGCCCAACTGAGACTCAGGCCCATACAAGCGTGGCTCGCACTGTGTTACCACCCGTCCCGAGACCCCCTGGACCTTGTGGTGACGATCCCGGGGCAGGTACAAGAATCCCTGCGTTGGTGGCTGGACCGACCAAGGGTCTGTGCAGGGGTCCCCTTCGCCAAGCCCAACCTTCTCTGACATTAGTAATAGACGCATCAGATCTGGTCTGGGGTGCACACTTAGGGGATCTGCCGACACAAGGCTTGTGGTCGACGGACTAGATACCTTTTCATATCAACCTGAAGGAGCTCAGGGCGGTTCGTCTGGCCTGCCAAACCTTTCATGACACTTTGCAAGGTAACAGCGTGACAGTCCTGACAAAAAACACCACTGCCATGTTCTACGTAAACAAACAGGGTGGAGCCCGCTCCTCACCCCTCTGCCACAAGGCTCTTCTCCTCTGGGACTTCTGTATAGCCCGATCCATTCAGCTGGAAGCATCTTACCTTCCAGGGGTACAAAACGAGCCGGCGGATCGCCTCAGCAGGTCACATTAAGTGCACTAGTGATCAATCAGATCTGACATCATACAGTCAGTCTTCCAAAGGTGGGGTTATCCCCAAGTAGACCTCTTCGTCACCAAGAGCAACACACAGTGCCCTCAGTTCTGCTCATTCCAAAACCACAGTCCGGGCTTGACTGCCGATGTGTTCCTAATACCGTGGGGTGAGGGGCTGAAGTATGCCTTCCCTCCTATCCCGCTGGTCCACCGGGTCCTTCTCAAAATTTGTAGGGACAGGGCGATGGTAATCATGATTGCCCTATCCTGACCGTGGCAGCATTGGTACACGACCCTCCTAGAGCTGTCCGTAGAGACCCTGATAGCCCTGCCCCTCTACCCGGATCTGATCACGCAGGACCACGGGCGCCTTCTCCACCCAAACCTGCAGTCTCTACATCTCATGGCGTGGAAACTCCGTGGCTAAATCCCAGGGAGAGCCAGTGCTCTCAATCAGTGAGACAGATTCTCCTCGGTAGTAGGAAACCTTCCACTACCTACCTGGCAAAGTGGAAAAGGTTTTCCTGCTGGTGTGAACCCAAGCGCCTTCAACCGCTCCAGGTTCCTATCCCGGTTATTTTGGACTACCTCCTACACCTTAAGCAACAGGGTCTGTCCCTTTCGTCCATCCGAGTGCACCTGGCAGCCATGCCAGCTTTCCATCCAGGGGAGTCTGGGCGCTCGGTGTTTTCAAATCCCATGGTGGGGCGATTCCTCAAAGGGCTGGAGAGGGTGTTCCCATATTCTCGCCCACCAGTCCCAACTTGGAATCTGAACCTGGTCCTCTCCAAACTCATGAGCTCACCATTTGAGCCCCTGGCCACTTCTTCCCTCCTCTACCTTTCTTGGAAGGTGGTGTTCCTGGTGCCCATTAGATTGGCAAGGAGGGTGTCCGAGCTGAGAGCTCTCACCTCTGAACTCCCTTACGCAGTGTTTCATAAGGACAAGGTGCAGCTTATACCGCACCCCAAATTCCTTCCCAAGGTGGTCTCCCAATTCCACATGGGACAGGACATTTGATTGCCTGTGTTCTTTCCAAAACCCCATATCAGCCCGAGACACCACAGCCTACACATGCTGGATGTTCGAAGAGCCTTAGCGTTCTACATAAAGCGCACAAAACCTTTCCGCAAATCAACCCAATTGTTTGTTGCCATAGCCGATAGAATGAATGGCCTTCCTGTCTCTGCGCAACGCATATCGTCCTGCATCACAGACTGCATTCGCACATGGTACGAGATGGCCAAGGTCCCAGCTCCAGCGATTACGGCCCATTCAACCAGAGCGCAGGCATCTTCGACTGCCTTTCTGGCTCAGGTCCTCATCCAGGAGATCTGCAAGGCAGCCACCTGGTCTTCAGTGCACACGTTTACAGCTCACTATGCTGTCAACCAACAGGCCAGAGATGATGCGGCGGTCAGCAGAGCTGTTCTTCAGTCAATCGTTCCATGACTCCTACCCTCCTCCAATGGTAAGCTTGCAAGTCACCTTATTGGAATGGACGTGAACAATAACTCGAAGAAGAAAAGACGGTTACTTACCTCTCGTAACTGTTGTTCTTCGAGATGTGTTGTTCAAGTCCTTTACAATACCCACGCCCCTTCCCCTCTGAGTCAATGGCAAGAAAGAACCAAAGGGGGGTCGGGGTGGCGCCATTCTGGGGGGCTCTCCTGCCGTCCCGACAGGAGCTGCTAAGGGGTAAAGTTTCCGACGTCCGTGCACGTGGTGCGCACACACCTAATTGTAATGGACGTGAACAACACATCTCGAAGAACAACAGTTATGAGAGGTAAGTAACCGTCTTTTCTTATCACAAACTTATCTATGGTTGTTTCTGGATGATGGAGATTATTTTTTCTTTTCGCTGTGGCTATGTGACGTACGTGATGTGACTGAAACACTATCATTGGCAGATAACTCTGAAACTATGGAAAATGATGGTGATCTTGAAGGTGGATAGTCTTCAGAATCCTGTATGTTGAGGATGGATTCTCCTAAACAAAATAAATCAGTGCAGTTATTTAATTATTACCATACTGCTCATTTAATATTACTCATTGCATTCACTGACACTCAGTACTACTTTAAAGGTGAAATTGTAAAAAGAAGATCTGCCTATTTCAGCTATTTATTTTTTATCACAACTGCATCTAAAATGATAGTCCCATAAAGTAACAACTATATTTTTTGCTCAAACATGAGAATTCAAGAATAGTCCAGAAGGAAGACAGGCAATCCTTAAGAAAGAAGTATGAAATAAAAAAGTTTACCAATCTGAAGATCCTGCATGTTCAGACGTGTTCCTTTCATCATCTTCAACGCAGCTTCCTCCTGAGAAGGAACTCTTCTCATGATGTTGTTTCATTCGGGCAACCAGGCCTTGCATTTCTTTATTGCGCTGTTTGCATTTTGCACGCATGCCTGTCTTACCCACAGGTAGAGGAACTTCATTAAAATATTCTCAAACTGGGTCTCTTTTACGGCCTGTGTCCACAAATTTGCAGAGGGACAATAGAGTTGCGGTCTGTTATTTCTCACCTCTATATATTATTTATTTGTGTATTTAAAAGCATTTTTGCTGTTAACAAGCATGTTATCTCTGGAGGCACAAATCCACAGTTTGAGAACTGCAAAACTAAGCATCTCTGATGATATCTTCTAGACTGAGCACTGAGTCTCATTGGGTAGATAGAAAGATTAACCTAAATAATTTATACAGAAGTCCCTGGAACTCCATAAGATTGGGTCCCTAATCCTTGAACTATTGGAACTCATTTACAAAACTTTTCTTAAAACTTACATTAATATATTGTCTCATACTATAGAATTAGAATTTATAATCCCTATTCCGTGAAGAGAGATCTTTGAGCTATAATGTATCTTAATTAAACCAATTTAAATAAAAACAATCCGATTTTTTTTTATTAAATCATTGATTTTTATCCACCCTGGTTATAAAACTTTGTCCGTATTTTATATTTGAGGATGCAGAGGAAGAGGGAAGTATAAGTTTAAAGTTTTGGAAAGGAATTTTTCTTGAAGCAGCTTTCCTATGTCTTGATTTTTAAGCTTATCAAAATGTGCATTTTTCTATTTTTAGTATTTGCCATATAAAAATGTTTTAAAATTTGAAAGCACCAATAAAGCAGTTTCTTCATGTTGTGTAAGTCTTAATGGTTTGTTTTTTCTTCTCTACAGGTAAAATAAAGTATTCAGAAAGAGTCTATGATGCTTGTATGGAAGCTTTTGATTGCCTCCCTCTTGCTGCACTTTTAAACCAACAGTTTCTTTGTGTTCATGGTGGACTTTCACCAGAAATAAACACACTAGATGACATTAAGAGAGTGAGTATGTTTGTGTATTTCTAAAAAAGTGGGGGTGGAGGATTTGTGAGACTCCTTTCAAATGTCACTCTTTGAAAATGTCAGTATATTAGTTTCTAGTTTTTACTGGCTCTTTGTAAGCACAAAACAGGATCCAGACACTTGGATTGAGGGGCAGGGTTTTTATTAATTTTTTTTGTTGATGGAGAGGCTGAAGGAACTGGGCTTATTTAGTCTTCAGAAGAGAAGAGTGAGGGGAGATTTGATAGGAGCCTTCAGCTACCTGAAGCGGGGTTCCAAAGATGATGGAGCTAGGCTGTTCTCTGTGGCAGATGACAGAATAAGAAGCAATGGTCTCAAGTTGCACTGGAGATCTAGGTTGTATATTAGGAAAAACTGTTTCACTAGGGGGGTGGTAAAGCACTGGAATGGGTTACCTTGGGAGGTGGTGGAATCTCCATCCTTAGAGATTTTTAAGGCCCAGCTTGACAAAGTCCTGTCTGGGATGATTTTGTTGGGGTTGGCCCTGCTTTGAGCAGGGGGTTGGACTAGATGACCTCCTGAGGTCTCTTCCAACCCTAATCTTCTATGATTCTATGAGTAATCATGGATTTTATTATATCAAACACATAGACATAATTGCAGTTAAACAACTTAGTTTCTAGAGTAATGTAATTGCACCAAGAAATTTAGTTTGCTCTTTAATTTATGCACATGCTTTAAGTTCTTTACTGGAGAAGGGCTAGAATTCTTAGCACTTTGCAGGATTGAGCTCCTAAAAGCTAAGTGTTGCCTTAAAAATCAATCAATGTATTAAAGATCAAATGTAATTTATCCCTCTAAACTTAAATATGAAAAGTCTTTTAGTTCTTGTTAGCTATTATTTATATCAAAGTAAATAAGTTTGTTGTGTTAGTTTGACAGCTTGATGTAGAATTATATTTTAAATACTTTTAATTTTTTTATAAAGTTATATCATTTGGTATTTGTTTACTGTCATTATCTAACATATTGCCTCTAACTGTTGGCAAAACTTTTATAATGGGTTTATATATGAAAGAAATATTAGAAATCCACATGACCATTTTGATCTGACTGTCTTGAGTTTATTCAGAAAAGCAAAATTCATATTGAGAACCAGAAATACTTGGTAAAAGCAGAGTTCAGTTTTAAAGTAGGATAGCTCTCACTAAATATAGCTATACCATGTGAAGAATGTACAAAATGAATCGGACTCTATAGTTTGATTTGTTTTCTTGTCATAAGAGACTTCTTTTGAAATGTTAGTGTCATTTTAATTTGAAAATTTGTGTGTTGCTATCTTGATAGTGTGGATATATATTTTTTTCTCAAAAAACCCTTGGACTTTTAAAGTTGCAATATAATGTGATAGTTCAACAATCTGAGTTACTCTTATGGAAAATTGGTAGAGTACTTGTTTGCCTAGCAACCTCTTGAAGTGGTCCTGTTCATATGGAAAGTGCTGTAGTTATATCAGTAATTAAGGAGGATGAAAATATGTTTTTAAAAAATTGTGCTATTAAATATTTAATGTATCAGTTATTTCATTTTAATGGAATACAAGTGTTATGATATCAAGCTTTCTGTCTGATAAAGCCATTGACAAATAAGTAGGAGTTACCTCACATGGAATGTTGATGTCAGGTGGTGATGATCCTATCATATTAAAATTTTTAATCTTCTGTTGCTTTCTCTTTGAATATTTCTTTTCAGTTTGCAGTTAACTGACCTTTTTTCATCTGATATCTTGACTGTAGCATTTGGTTCCTCCTTCACAAGAGTGGTATTGATTATTTCAAGTTTTGCAAAATTATCATAAAGTCTGAGGTCAGAAGCATTTTATGCTTGGATTTAAACTTTCTAATTTCAAACTAGTCAACTTGGAATAAAAAAAATCAGTTTCTGAGGAACCAGTAAGATGCCATTATCTGGTGGAGAATCCACCACTGCTTCTACCAGGTCATCTGAAAGGAGGTCTTCCTTTACTCCGTGTGGACAGGTGGTCTTAAAAGGGGAGGGGAGGAAGAATCATGTGACTGGTGACAAGCCAACTAAATGAAAAACCAAGTCAGTCATGGTTCCAAAAAAATTCCTGGTCTACTTTTTTGTCACCTATTTTGTCACCGGCCCGCAGGGCTACCCCTTCTCCCCCAGGACCAGCGGGTGCCCCACAGGCCCTCTTCCAGAGCAGCCAGCTGCACCCCCTGGAACCTCCCAGGACACCAAAGATTTAGTCAGGGGTATATAGTACAAGTCATGGACAAGTCACAGGGCCGTGAATTTTTGTTTATTGCCTGTGAGCTATCCATGACTTTTACTAAAAATGCCCATGACTAAATCTTAGTCTTATACATAACCATTGTTTCACTGTGTTGTGCATTTATCCTCCTTTAGTGTCTGGTTCACAGGGGATAATAGGCTTCGTTTCCTGATAGCTAATACAGTTAGTCCTGAAACTTTTCACTATGGTCACTGGAAATGTAACAGAGCCACTAAAGTAAGTGTTTCCAAATGGGTCAGAAAGGATATCTCTGAAGCCTCTTAAAGAAAAGGTAAGAAACCTCCTCCAGAAATGGTCAAGTCCCATTCCATGAGGTCGACAGCAATGTTATGGCAGAGCAATAAAGCTTTGTATGAAAAAAAAATCTGCAGAGACCCTAGGTGGTCATCTCTTCATTCCTTGATTAAACTGTCCAATGTGGATATGTTTCTTCGGATGCAGCATTTGGTTGTCTGGTCGTGTTGGCTGGTAGTTCTTCTTAATTCCCTTTTATTCCATTTTTTTCTGTGCTGCTACTACTTACTAATTCCCAGTGGTGTCTTCAAATTGGTAGATGTAGTGTGCCTGAGAAAAGGACAATTTTGTTCCTTTGTAAATTTACGTTCTCATAACATACACATCTATCAGTCTGGAGGATCCCTCGCCTCTTCTGACAATTAATTATCTTCATTATTCTCTATTGTTGTATGTTCAAATCTTCCTCTTGTTTTTTTGGCATGCATCTGCCTTACAGAGAAGAGGAAACACACTTCTATAGAGCCTACCTCTCTCGTGTAGTGGGTAGCATTTACTTTGTAATGCTTTGGCATTGGTGGATGCGTATACTGTACAGGTAAGAAGCAAAACTGATCTATATAATATTTAAATCAACTTTGTGTTTGTTTTTCAAACAGCTAGATAGATTCAAAGAGCCTCCTGCATTTGGACCAATGTGTGACTTATTGTGGTCAGATCCCTCAGAAGATTTTGGAAATGAAAAATCACAAGAACACTTCAGTCATAATACAGTCAGGGGATGCTCATATTTTTATAGGTAAAAAGAAATCTAGGATATAATTGACATTTTAGTACTAAGAGTTACACTTTACTAAACAAAAATAAAGATTTTACTCATAGTTGTTTTCATTTCACAGCTATCCAGCAGTTTGTGAATTTTTGCAAAATAATAATTTGTTGTCGATAATTAGAGCTCATGAAGCACAAGATGCAGGGTAAGTGTTTTATGCCCTTACAGAAATTATTCAACAATACAAAATAATCATATTTATTACTTTATGATGCAAATTAAGCTGTTTGTTTTACAGCTATAGAATGTACAGAAAAAGCCAAACTACAGGTTTCCCATCATTAATAACAATTTTTTCGGCACCTAATTACTTGGATGTCTACAATAATAAAGGTAAGAATTTAGTGCTAAGGAGATTATATTAAATTAAAACTTCTTTCCAAAAAAATAGTCTAACAGTAACACCATACAAAATCACCATACAAAGTCAATTTTGTATGGTGTTACTGGTAGAGCGAAAAAAATCCAAGCCTTTTGAGTCAAACTAATACAATATGTAAAACACATATGGGCATAATTACTTGAATGTGTAAAATAAACTGATGATCTCTCATAATGATGACATCCAGAAATGATAAAACCAAGTGTGCTTTTCATTTTTAGAAGTACCCACTGTGACATTACCCAGGGTGCAATCTGGACTGACAGACAGCTCCGTCCCCTCATTTCTCCAACCTGGGATGCCTTTTACACTGCTTTGCTGTGAGAGCAACCACTCCTGCTCTGCCTACACCCAGCCTCCAGCATGTAAATCATTCGCAGCTATATTATATGAGTGCTATAGCCAGCCACCCATGAATTATGCTGCAGGGCAACACCAGCAAACTCCCAGTCCCAGATTTTCCCCTAGAAGTGTGCGTCCTGTAATGCCCAGCCCCTCGTGGACAATGCAAGGTCATATAAAGTCCGTCATTTCATTAATAGAAAATGATATGCACAAATGTTATCTCAAATGAAGTTTCCCAAACCCTTCAATCCAAACACACACTGGTTTAGATAAAACAATACTACAGAAAGATAGGTTTTAAGTGACTGCAAATAATGAGGCATAAAAGTCATAATTGATTACAAGTAAATAAAAGGTAAAACTCAACTGATACCTAACTTAACAAGCTAAGTGAATTCAAAGCATAAAGTTGTCTCTCACCATATATTCTAGCAGTTTTACTGGTTGAATCTTTCAGCCAGGATCCCTCCCCAGTCCGATGATGCTTATTTTATTCTTCAAGTGTTGTTGATGCCATGAGTAGAAATGGAGAGATGATTTGGGGCATCTGTTCCCCGTTTTTATCTTTTCTTCCTCTTTGAGAATCATCTCCAGCTGGGATTCAGGAGACAGTCTGTCGGACGGGAACTTCCAACTGTTTCTTTGACAAGTTGTAAATTTCTCACTCTCTCACCCTTTTTCCTGCCAAAGAATGGCCGCTTAACCAGGTGATAGTCCATTTGATTTTGTTGACACCTGGCTGAGGCATCAGTTTGTCTTTCGTTTTTGAGGAACTGGTTTGTGCCTGCTTTTCTAAACTTGGAATATGTCTCAGTAGCATTTTATATCTTTGTATACAATGTTGCCACACACATTTTACCAGGACAATAATGATCAGCAAACTGAGTTTTTTCAAATGATACCTCATAAGGCATACTTTGTATAAAATCCATTATAGTTTTGTAAAAATGGTGAACATAGGGTTCTTCTTCGAGAGATGTCTTTGTGGCTGATACACTTCAGGTGTCGGTCTGTACTGGAGCCATCAGTCGGAGATTTATGGTAGCAGTGTCCACACTTACGCAGTAGATGTCTTGCAGTGCAGTTGGCATCTCATTTAGCGTGTGCACAACCCAATCCCTCCAGTTCCTTCCCAACCGACCTCGGCCTGAAATGGAGCTCTGTGGCAGTGTTCACAGTCCTTTCCCCCCCCCCACCCCCCAAAAAATAGAAATAGTATAATTTAGACAGACAGCAAGTTTTTAATGATAATTAGTTTTGCTTAGATAGCTAGTAGTTTAAAAAAAAAAGTTTTTCTCCTGGTTTCCCCTTCCCCATAGTTTCTTCACAGCAGGGAACATTCAACTGTTGAACGATGCCTGGCTCCCCAGGGTTCAAAAGATGCAGCTTATGTCATGAAGCGATGCCAATTTCTGATGGACACTTATGTGTCCGATGTCTCGGTGAGGCGCACATCCCACAAAAGTGCAGCCACTGTAATAATTTAAAAGTGAGAGTCAGGCGCAACCGGGATCGCCACTTGAAACTGATCTTAATGGGGAAATCTCTCCAAACGGAGACAGAACAGACCTCCTCCTCTCCAAGCACCCCGACTTCAGCAAAAGAGGACATGCCATCCTCTAAAAGATTGAGGAAGAGAACACCAACTTCGCTGCAGAGAGCACCGCAGAAAAAAAGGCAGTCTCCTGCCAGGTCGCTACTCTGATGCCGACAACCACAAGGATGAGCACCATTGATGCTCCAGGCACCTCTGGCACCGTCCATACTGGGACCTCTGCCAAGCCCCACCACAAGAAGACAGAGTCGAGGCATAAAAAGAGACATGTCTCCTCCACGGCACCGACCTCACTGGTGAGGGACAGTGTGCCGAGACTCCCCCGGAACCATGCCTCCACTTCCAGCACCAATGGTGCAGTCAGCACCGATGGGGAAAATCCAAAACGGCACCACCCATGCTAGTCAAACGATCACAAAAATTATCACCACCGATGACTGCTATACCATTCCCTTTACTTCCCGCACACCTACCTTACTCCCCTCCCACTCCCTCTTCAGGAACCCTTCTCATGAGCACCTGCTATGACAAGATGTAGATCATATTCTATAGTTAGGTGCCATAGAACAAGTCCCTCACAACACAGAGGGAAGGGATTTTACTCCCATTACTTCTTGAACCAGAAAAACAGGGGATGGAGGTCCATTTTAGACCTCACAAAACTCAACAAGTTTGTACGAACTTAAAAATTCAAGATGGTCACACTGGGCACGATACTACAAGCACAGCAAAACGGGGACTGGTTTTCAGCCCTTGACCTTAAAGATGCTTATTTTCATATTACCATACATCCCGCTCACAGAAGAGTCCTGCGATTCACAGTGGAAAACTATCACTTCCAATACAGAGTACTACCGTTCAGCCTGTCCACCACACCAAGAGTTTTCTCAAAAACCCTTGCGCTAGTGGCAGCACGTTTACACAAACGAGGGAAAATGATTTTCCTATACTTAGATGATTGTCTCCTCAAGAGCTCGACTCAACAAGAAGCAATATAAATGGTCCAGAAGACAGCTGCACTCTTCAGGAATCTAGGTTTGCAGATAAACGAACAAAAATCAACCCTAATTCTTGTACAACAGCTGGACTTCATTGGGGGCACACCTCGATGCCATAGAGACCAAAGTATCGTTGCCTCTGAGCAGATTCACAACAATGACCAACCTTGTATCGGTAATCAGCAGCAGCCCCCCAAAACCCGCACATATAGGACTACAACTATTAGGTCACATGGCAGCCACAACATTTGTGGTAGGACACGCAAGACTATATGTGCGCTGCCTATAGAGCTGATTGAACTCAATATACATACCCAGCAAGCACAGCCTCCATAAATGACTAACAGTACCGCCAAAAGTCTTGGACTCTCTACACTGGCGGACAAGGTTAGAAAATGTATATGTGGGCATCCCCTTCCAGTAGAACAATAATAATTATCACAGATACATCCCTGATAGGCTGGGGCTCCCACGTGAACCAACACACAGTTCAAGGCAAATGATCTGCTGAGGAGACCCACTTACACATCAATCTACTCGAGCTGCGCGGTACACAATGCCTGCAGACATTTCCTGTCACTGATAAAGAACAAATCAATTTGCATAATGACTGACAACATTGCCTGCATGTTTTACATCAATTGCCAAGGAAGAGCCCAACCACACTCACTATGCACCGAAGCCATGAAACTGTGGAACTGGTGCATTCACTACAAAATAAACATCTTAACCTCCTACCTTCCAGAATTCGACAGCAGACATGTCTCATGGGAGCATGAATGGGAAATGAACAATGTAGTCCTGCAGTCCGTATTCCAGTGATGGGGACCTCCCCCCATCGACTTGTTTGCATCCCCAACAAACCACAAATGCCCATTATTCTGCTCGAGAGCAGAGATGGGATCCCAATCATTGGGCGATGCCTTCCTCATCCCATGGGATGCAACACTCATGTACGTATTCCCACCGATCCCTTTGATCCCACAAGTAATACACAAGATATGAATACAAAAGGCTACAGTCACCCGAATAGTCCCGACATGGGCCAGACAGGCCATGTTCTTATCCTTACCCGATGCACATGGCAATATGCGCCCCATGAGTGCTCCCTCTTCGGATGGACCGTCTGTCACAGAACAACAGTTACACTCTTCACCCAAATCTGGAGAAACTCCATCTGAAAGCATGGCTCCTGCATGGTTCCATTATGGTTAGTTAGCCTGTTTGGAACAAGTCAAACACATATTACTAAACAGCAGGAGATCAACCATGTCATAAAACTTACCCTTAAAAATGGAAAAGATTCTCCTCACGATGTCAAGAAAAACAGTTGACTGCCACTACAAACCACTGTTGCTGGTGCTGGACTACATATTGGAGTTGAAACACTCAGGTCTTCCAACAAACTCGATCAAAGTGCATCTCATGGTCATTACAGCGTTCAATCATGGAATTGAAGGGACCTTGATATTCGCGCATCCAAGTACTAAACGCTTTCTCACCGGTCTACAGAACATTTACCCAGAGGTTCGCCAACCCACTCCGGCATGGGATCTAAAGTTGGTATTGAAATGCATCAACAGACCACCATTTGAACTTTTAGCCACCTGTTCCTTACTGCATCTGTCCATGGAAAGTGGTGGCATTTTTTGGTCGCTATCACTTACGCCAGACGAGTAAGTGAGATGGGGCCTTTTTGGCCGATCCTCCCTACACAATATTTTTCAAGGACAAGGTCACGTTATGACCCCACCCAAAGTTCCTACCAAAAATATCATCACCCTTTCGTATAAACCAACCAATTCACCTTCCCAATTCACCTTAAACCACACGGGAATCTAAACGAAACCATTGTGCATATATTAGGTGTTAGACACGCGTTAGGCTTCATTCTATCTAATTAGAATGCTTTCTGAAAGTCCCCGAGACTTTGTGTCCATGACCGAACATTCAAAAATAAGTGCTATTCATTCAGAGATTATCTAAGTGGATCTCCACCTGTATTCAACAGTATTACCCAAACACACAATACAGAACCTCCTGAGGACATCAGATCCCATTCCACACGCGCTCTATCGACCTCAATAGCATTTCTAAACAATGTGCCTATAATAGACATATGTAGAGTGGCTACTTGGGCCTCTGTCCATACATTTACTGATCATTATGCAATCATTCAAGGCCCGATGCCATAATTGGCCTAACTGTACTCGCCTCTACAATGCAAGCAAACCCAAAGTCCCTCCTAACCTCTGAGGGGCACTGCTCTACAGTCACCTGAAGAGGAGCATCACTCAAAGAAGAGAGGGGTACTCACCTTGTCCAGTAACTGAGGTTCTTCGAGATGTGTTCCCCTGTGGGTGCTTCACTACCCATCCTCCTCCCCTCTACTTTGGAGTTGGCAGTAAGGACTTTACGGTAGAGAAGGAACTGGAGGGATCGGGCTGTGCGCACGCTAGATGAAGCACCAACGGCACTGCGAGACATCTACTGCGCACGTATGACCTGCATGGACACTGCTACTGTAAATCTCTATGAAAATAGCGTAGCTGAAATCGACTTATCTTAGATTGAATTAAAATTACTTACTTTGCGTCCTTGCGGCGCTGGATCAAAGGCCGCGGCTCCCCCGTCGACTTTGCTTCCGCCTCTCACACTGCTGGAGTTCAGCAGTCGACGGGAGAGTGATTGGGGATCGATTTCGCGTCTACACTACACGAGATAAATCGATCCCCGATAGATTGAGATCGGCGGGTAGTGTAGACGTACCCTGATACTTGAAATGGAGCACCCACAGGGGGACACATCTTGAAGAACCTCATTTAATGTATAAGGTGAGTAACCCTCTCATACAGATTGTTACACCCACTGAGTGCTTTCCAAACAGGCTGGGCTGCTCTGTGCTCTGAGCAGTTCACAATGTAAAATACAAGCTGAGAAATAGAGGTTAGGGGCCGAGGAACAGTAGTAGACAATTTATATACAAGTCAGCTCAATTCGTGGCAAGCCACACTGCAGAAGTAAGCTTTTAAATGTGGACAGGGAAGAGACCATGCAGATGAGCTGTGGGATGTAGTACCATACATGGGCGGCTGTGTGGAAGGAGGCATGGAAATGTTTGTGGGAGAAGCTAAAACAGCGGGACAAAGTTGGAGGCAGGTGGAGAGCAGCCTGTGGTTTGGCAAGGCATTGTAAGTAAGGAGGGGACAGAGTTAGGCAAAGCTTTGAAGGTGATGAAAAGAAACTGAAATTTGATTGTGAATGTGTAGCCAGTAGTCCGTTGATTAAAATGTGGGATAATAAAAAATCTGGAGCCAGTTATACTGTTGTTTTGAGTTGGATGTTTGTGACAATACCTGCAATGGCACTTTTAGTAGTTTTTCCTCTCTGTGTCAGTGCAATTTTGTATTTTCCTTAAAATGTACCTTTTTTAAATTGCAACATAAAGTGATTTTTCATATAACAAAGCTCTCTGTTAGAAATCTGTTCCATTATAATCATGAGTAAAGGATCATAGAGTGTCTCTTGCATATATTTTTACATAAGGTGTAATATAACTGTAAATGTGGGAAAAGATAATTTAATCTTCCTGATGATTTTGTTTTTATTATACTTAGTGCTAAGGATAAAAATTCTTGCCTTAATTTCTAAATGTTGTTTTGCAGCTGCTGTGTTAAAATATGAAAATAATGTGATGAATATTCGACAGTTCAATTGTTCTCCGCATCCTTATTGGTTACCAAATTTTATGGATGTCTTTACGTGGTCATTGCCATTTGTTGGAGAAAAAGGTAGAAACTATGCTGTACAAGCAAACTGTATTTGTGTTTTGTGTGGGTGTTGCAGGTTTATATTTACATGAGAGAAATTAAGTGTATGATTTCTCTTAAGGGACTATGTTAATCATTGCCACCTACTCCTTTGTTTGTCTCAATAGGGTGCAGACTTGTGAACACTTGTCCCAAAAGACCTTTTGCAAGGTTGTGTAACTCCCCATGTGAAAGTGCTGTAACATGTCCATGAAGGATGGTGATCTTTGACATGAGGTAGTCTACAGCTATTGGTTCTCTGTTCCCCCTGCTTTTGGCTGAGGTAGCTTGATTTTTGTCTGACGGAGCAGAGGAGGGAATGGAGAGGTTTAGAAGAGATGAAGGCGCTTGTCTGCATAGTTTAATGAAAATCCCCTTCCTTCTGAAGTATATCTCTGAATCAACACACAATTTCAATAAAACTGTTTCCACTCTACAGAATAATTTGTTACACTTTCCTAATCTTAATGATGTTGAATTCTTAAATATTGTCTAGTTATGATGGATGTTCTTTTAACATTCTACAATGCCCAGAAGATTTTCCTTTGATGAAGGGCAATTTATATATAATTGTTCTCCTAAAATACAATTTAATAGATATCCCCGTTCTACCCCCTCCCTCCAGAGATGGTAATTTTAAATTTAGGACAATTGGGCTCCAGGTAGGTTTAAGTAAAAAGCAAAGCAGTCGTGGTTGGACATTAGGTTGTCCTATTTAAAGTCCCACCAATATATGCTATAGTTGGTGAAGGGGTTGTAGAAAGCTCTTCAAATGTATCTGAAAAGTACTCTTGAGACCAGTTGCATAAATGCAGGTTTGGGTTAATATTACCTTCTGAGAGAAATTACAATCAGATGGTTTAGGCTTTTTTTTAATATGCTCAGTGTATGTAACAAATTACTTTATGGATTTCAACTAAAAGAATGAATAAGAGTTGGAAAGTGTTTTCTGTTCATATGTAACTACCTGATGAAATCTAAATGTCAAGACTCATCAGTTTATATAGTGATCTTTTGGACATTTAATTGATTATTAAGTACAATAAATGTAGAATTTTTATTTATAGTTTGTAGGACATGTAAGTGGTGGCAGCTGCTCATGAAAATGTGGATTATTTTTAATCTTTCAGTGTTTATTTGGGATATTACTTGATTTTGCTTACTTGAGAGGCTGGTAATTAGATAAGCTTGCTGTTAAACGAGAATTTTTTTGTTCAGCCAGCATATGCTCACTGCTGCAACCACAGTGCAAGTTAGTAAAGGCCCTTGTATTTTCTTTCTGTTGGCTTTCAGAAATGCACACACTTTGACATTTTAACCAAAGGTTAAATCTGGCTTTGCCAATTGAAAGAAATTTACGGCAAAATCCATTTTAAATTATCATAGGGTTTGTGAAAAAACAAAAGCATGGTCCATTGCCTTTCTATTCAGGTAGATACATTTTGTGTACTTGTAAAATTGAGTTTCATTCAGACCATAATTAAAGTTGAGAAAATGCCAAAATATAAATTATCTCCATTTTACTGTTGACTGATCATTCTGAATTCTTGATATAGAAAAAAACTGTTTAAAGAAGCATTTTTAATTTAAAATCCTTTTAAATATTACATTTAAGAAGCCATATACTTGGTTTTGGCTGGCTGATATTGCTTTTGGGGCTGTCCATTCTTCAGTCAGGAGACCCAAATCAGGATCACTTTTGGGGTTCTTGCTCACAGGCTTTGTTACCCAGGGTTTTCAAAACCCAGAGCAGTGATAACTGTTTCTTTCCAGGCAGCGTAAGGAATAAATCAGTGGGGACACAGCTCCTCCATCTGATAAATGATTGATACAAACAAGAGTACTTTTATCTAAAACTACTCATTATTAGGTCTCAAGCCACACACACACACACACGCTGTAGCAGCTGGTTCAGAGCATACTAAACCTTTATATTTATCAAAGTCTGAGGTGGTTTTGAGGAATTAACAGTCAGGCTTCCGAGGGCCCTCCTTCCCTCCAGCTGCTGAGGAGTTTTGGTGTCCTCGGACTACTTCCAAATGAATCCTTTTGCCTAAGCTTTTATAGCTAACTTAAATAAAGCACATAACTCATAGCGACTCCTAGTGGATCACCATAGTAAACCCTGATGGATCACCAATTCTCCTAGTTTCAGCAAACTACTCATTTCTTATCAAAGTATTTCTATTCATAACAACAATAAAATTTGTCTCAGACACCTAAAACCAAGGTCGTCTGTCCAAACATTCCTTCCATTTTGATTAGCAGAACTGCAGACGTGCAGCTGCCTGGCCTTGCTCCTGAGCCTAAAATTATTCCTAGCTACGTGATGATTGATTTTCAGCTAGCCATGACTGAACACAAAATAGCTCACTGCTGCAGTACTGTCACGTTCTGGGGTAACATGCAGGAATGTCAGATTCTGTGTTACAGCTTTGTAGAGCAGGATGTTGTAATAGTTGTGCTATTATACTTGAGCCCTGCTGCTAGTTCATCTGTTTTAATGTAACCGATGGCATTTTTTTAAAAAAAGCTAAACTCTCCCCAACCTGGATATTTCAAAGTGTTTGTGTGCTTCTAAATAATGCATAGAAAATGTCTCTCTCCCCATACATGCACTCACTTATGCATACCTCACCATTGATGTGTAAGGATATACAGAAAAGGGTATGAGAATTTAATGAGGTTTATGATAACTTTAAAAAAAAAATGACATGAGGAGTGGTAGTACATCTTTGTGTTGAATTGTAGAGGATTTTTGGGTCAGGGAATGTCTTTTTATAAAATGTGTAAACATTGGGCTCTCTGAATATTTTAAAAATATAATAATGGGAAACCCTGATGCGGAAAATCAAACTTTCTTTATCAGTTTTTAACTCTGACTCTTGCCTTAAATTATTAGCTGAGGATTTTGCATATTTAATAAATATTCCTAAAGTAGTGTAATGTTGTTTAAATTTACTTTTAAAATCTGTCAGAGGAGTTTACATGTCTCTTGTCTCACAGGAACAAAATGTGGAAATTCTGGACTATGAGTCCTTGTCATTTAAAGGACTTCTGTTGTATGAGAGTATAATATATCTTATGTTACAAAGTGCCAAGCACATTGTAGACACTTTGCAAATAACAGTAAATAATGCTGTAATTTCTCTAATACGTATTTGTTGATGTACAATTACATTGCACTCTTATTTAGGAAATATATTACTTATTTTCCTTTTATGCTGCCTTCTACATTTATGTGGAAGTAATGGTTGACTATATGTGTAATTTCATATTTTACATATAATGCACATATTTAGAGCTTAAAATTCACTTTTTTAAACAGCAGTGAAACATTTATAAATATGCATTAGGGGAATATTTTTAGAGCGATTGGTAAAACTATTCAGTTCTTAAAAAGACTGACAACTTTACTTGGCATCAAAATATAACTGTTTAATTATACTTCCACAACGTGTTTCCTTTTAAAACTATTTGCATTGGCAAAAGTTAAAAATTGAATAGACTTGTACATTTTTATACATGAAGCTATGTCCCCATACTCTTTCAGAGTGCAGGTTCCAGAGCTTTGTTGTAGTGAAGTTGTGTGTGTTTGTTTTTTTAACTGGCAATAGAATGACAGATTTAAAGAAAAAATAACTACCAAGAATCTAGTGAATTGTCACACTTTGGACCAGGCTCTCTCTAAATCTCAAGGCCAGATCCTCAGTTGTGTAAATTAGCATAATGCCAGTTTGCCAATAAACTGTCTGGGCATCTGGACCTCTCTATCTTTGACCCTGATAATGTGTGTTCTCAGTTATACCACTAGTACAATTTGAGGCATATGACAAGCATTTCTCAACTCCCCCACTCACTGACTCAAGAAAGTTGGGAGGTAAGGTGTGGGAGAATAATAATTCATTGACCATTACTTTCATCTTAAATTTCTTGCAAACTGTCAAGCCATTCTGTTTACAAATATATTTGAGGAGACAAGGTGGGTGAGGTAATACCTTTTATTGGACCAACTTCTGGTGGTGAGAAAGACAAGCTTTCAAGCTACGCAGAGCTCTTCTTCAGGTCTGATTGCCTTTCCCAGAGCCTCACAGCTGATCAAACTGATAGTTTAGCGTAAATAGCACAGATCTGTTTGATCTTGTACTTAGCTGTAACGCTCTGGGAAAGGCACTCAGACCTGAAGAAGAACTCTGTGTAGCTCGAAAGCTTGTCTCTCTCTCCATCAAAAGTTGGTCCAATAAAAGGCATTACCTCATCCACTTTGTCTCTCTAATATCCTGGGACTGATATGGCTACAACAACACTGCATGCAAACATGTTTGACTTTTGACAAATGAACTTTCTGTACTGTTGAGATTCTTTTAATGAGAGCACCTACTACCAGGTTAAAGATTGTGTTTTTGTTTGTTGCTCATTAGATTGTCTTGGTTGAGAAAATAAAGTTTGCAGTTGTAGAATTTGTATAAGGGGATTTCTCTTTAGGTTAGTCTACACTTCACAATGCCTTTAGAGGAGTGTACAGTCCTTACATTACGTGCAGAGCTAGCACAGGTATAAATAGCAGTCTAGGCAGTGAGGCGCTGCTCAGGCAAGTAGAGTAAGGACATACCTGAATCCTGTGAGTATGAATGTACCCAGATATGTATGCTGCTCACCCAAACAGTGTGCCCCTGCTTCACCTTACACTGCTATTTTTAGCAGTGTAGTGCCTTTCTGCTAGGTCTTTTCCCATTGCAGGGTAAGACTCCAGCAGTGGGGAAAGGCTGTGGCAGCTCCCTGCTGCTGCTGCTGCAACAGCCTTTCCCCAATGCAGGGAAAGGCGCCTGGAGTGGTGAGCTACCAGAGCTGCTTCTTACTACAGGGAAAGGTTCCAGCAGTTCCCTGTGGTGGGGAAAGACTGTGGGAGCAAAGAGCTGCCAGAGATTTTCCCTGCTGCAGAGAAACATTCCAGCAGAGGGGAAAGGCTTGGGTAGGGTGACTAGATGAGGGGAAGTGGGGGGGGGGGAGGGTTGCCCACCAGCAAAAAAAAAAAAAAAGACAGAGTCCTGCCCCAGCTGAGCAAAAAGATTTTATCAGGACGTCTGGTCACCCTAGGTAGCGGGGAGGCAGTGGGGAAAGGCTCCAGCAACTCCTTTCTGCTGAGCCTTTCCCTGTTGTCTTCCTTCTGCCCTAGTACCTTTCACTGACGTGTAGCTACACACTGCAGTGTGGGTGCAGCCTGATTTTTGCTGCTGAATGTAGTTACACATACCCTATGCACTGCTGCTAGCATTGTGCAGTGTAGATGTAGCCTTTGTTTGCTAAGTAGTCAGCGAAGCACCACATGAAATTATTCGATTTAGCTTGGCCCCATTAGATAGTACAGTTATAAGTGCTAGAGAGATCCCTAAGATGATTTGTCATTTTATTAATATAGGATATTCCAAATTCATGTGAAGTGTTCCCCATATACTTTAAAGATTATTTGAAAATCTGGTTTAAACTTTTTTTCTCCTCTGTGTGCCTTCACTAAATACTTTGAAAGATTCACAGTTTTCTTTTTTTTTTTCTTGTCATCTGTACACTTGCATGGAATTACAAGGTACCTTCCTAAAAGAGTAACCTAATTGGAGCAGATTCACAACTTTTTACATTAAGGACACTCTTTTCGAGCACATGCAAGGGGTGGTCCATCATGCTTTTTAATAGGGCAAGGTGTTTTTGCATGTAGTGTCCATTTATTTTTCAGTTGATATAAATATTATATTGGCATTTATCCATGTCACAAATGTAAATAATATTTTTAAATATTGGGTTCCATTTCCCCCACTGGTTTTCTCTCTCATCCCTTCTCTGTTGCACCATGTTATGGTTAATCGGGGAGACTGGAAAGCTCATCCTCCAAAGGCTGCATTTAGAGCCACCTTTTTTTTTTTTTAATGATACTAGCTAACTGCTCAAAATTTAGTCTGAATTGATCAGCTTTTGTACAAATACAGCTTAGAGTTTATTGGTTTTTCATCAGATTCAAGATTGCTTGTATGTAGAAATATCATTACTTATGAAAGGAGATCCTTTCTAAAAAGAACTAATTCTGGACCATGGGTGTGGGAAAAGAGGGAAGTCTGTGATGCTATTCCAGCACTCTGTCTTTGGACAGTGGTGTTACCTTAGCATCATATTTTGTTATGTTTCATTCCAGGAATATACACATTATGAAAAATGTCTCTGTCTGGGAGAGTAGATTGCTGAGCAGCTGAAAAAATACATACTGGGGTGTGAAATTTTGTCAGCCATAAGTGCAGACAATTTGTTAAACCTCACATATGAATTAATATATATAGCAGTGTATAGTTGGTTAATTCATTTTTATTCTTTTCAACACAGTAACAGAAATGTTGGTGAATGTTCTGAGCATTTGCTCTGATGATGAATTAATGACAGAGGGAGAAGATCAATTTGACGGTAAGGTCACCTTTGTATCTAAAGTACTATATTTTCATGGAAACGTTTCTATAGTAGTGGTTGAGACTTTGACCAGTTGTATTATATGTTGGAAATTTTTTTTATTATCTTTAGGGTTTTTTCTTTTCTTTAGATAGTATTTTTATATTTGTAATATAATATAATCTTGTTAAATAATATTATTTAGTGTACTGTTCAACAAAACATCTTCAAAAATTCCTAGAACTTACTTTACCCGAAGAGTACAGTTGATTTGATACTACACTTGGATAAACAGCAATTGTTATATACCTTTCTTGACACTTTCTCTGTTTTTTGGGGCTTCAGAATTTAATCCTTACTTATTATATTAAAAACAATAACAAAGAAATTATACTGTAGTAAAAGCTGTATGTTCAGGTCTTGAAGGTTTTGATTATCTGTATGAGCTACCTGAACTTTCCTGGCATTTATGTTGTTGCCAGAAATGTGAAAATTAAAAATACAGCCTTAGGTCTTGAGCTTACAAACACTTAAACATACAGTGTTACTCACATGAGTAATCCTGTCGCATTTGGGGCGGGGTAGGGGTGGAATATTCATATGCTTAAGCGATTATTTCATTCTCTAAAATGACAGGCTTTCACTTAGTTTCTCCAGCAGAGACTTACTCAGCATTTATTGAGTATGCTCCCTCTTTTGGTACAGTAGTTGAACTATTTCCTAATTTTGATTGTTTTTATATTTTTATCTCATCTCCTTTAACAGTTTCTTTGCTTGGTCTATTCTATCTTCTCTTCATAAATAGATTCTCCAAATAGTTGACAAATTTTCCTTGCTTATCAGAATTGTAAAATGTATCCAACATTTTCCACTTTTTATTCAACTAATTTAAGTGTAGCAATTTTTCGTTTCCTTCACTTTTCTTTTCCAAATTCATTCTTTATTAGTACTGCCAGGTAAAATATCTTGGGTTTTTTTTTAATTTGTCTCGCTCACTTTTTTTCTCCATTGTTCACTTCTTTTTTTTCTCCACTCTCTATCTGAAGTACAATTCTCATATGGCAATAAAAAAGGTACAGACCAGACAGAATAGTAATGTTTTGAAATATGACTTCATAGATCCATAGTATGAATGTTAATAGTACAGAACACATTTATATACTGAGATATGTAGAATTTTTGTTTTACTATCAGTCTGTTAAAAATATTTATAAAGATTTGTATTTGTGTAATCAGAAGTCCTATTCCAAGACATTTGTCTTTCTGTGCATGAAAATATTTCTCCTTTCTTCCATTCCTCTTTTTTATAGAATTTCATTCTTTTATCTCTTTCTAATATTTTATCTTTGGACCTGCATGTGTAGGGAGCATTCACCTTTGTCTTGTTTTTTATAATGATTTTTATTGTAAACATTTAACTTCAAAATTGTGCATGAAATATGTTTAGAAAATGTTCCAAAATCTTGTTTATATAGTATGTTTAGCATCTTCTAATTAGTTTTAGATGGAAAAAAGTGATATGTATGCTGTGCAGTTTTACAGAGGTGTCGATATAATAGTTGAAAATGGATCTATTAATTTAACTCTATAGTAGCTAACAAACATTTTTCCAAATCCCAAACTGTAGACATTTTTGTTCAGAAATATTTTTCTGATTGTGTGATCATTTGGTCAACAAAATATTTGAGGTCTGTACAAATTCTGTCATTCGAAGGAAATATTTTTAATAATAATGAACTCATCAGTTTCATGTGATATTTCTAATGGTTATGTGAATCTCTGGGAGAATAATAATATTGCTGAATGTGTTTCAGATTAATAATTGTATTGCACTTGGAAGGTGTGGAATATATAATATGGCATTCCAAGTTCACCCTCCGCCTTTTGGCCTGCTTTGCTGGGACGCAACATATGGTTATGTCTCCATGTATCGGAGTGTGGATGGTTTCTTCCCCAGATGACTGAATATTCGGAGGAGACTTTTGAAGTGTCCATAGTTTTAATGGTGTTGATTGGTCTCTGGCTGATCTCTCCATTTGAGGGTCAGCAAGGGAAAGAAAAAATTAGCTGTGGGGCCTTCCTTCTGCCCACAGTAAACTAAACCAAAATAAATGGTAGGGATGAGGAGGGAGCTCCTGCGCTGTAGCAGATCAAAAGGAGGCAGTGATGGCCCTCCTTTTCCCACTCCAAAGCCTCTTTGGTAATTTTTGTTTGCATTTATTTCTTTCCCAGCCAGTCTGTCTCTCTCTTTTGTGGAACATGCAGCATTTATTCCAGTCCTTTGGTAATGGTAATTCCTGCAAATGATGCAACTTTACAAGCGAGAATAGATAGTCCCTAGAATTGGGAGGTAAAGGAGTCCTCACATATTCCAGCTGACTCTGCAACCGTCTGCCACTGAACTCTTTGGTTTTGTTTTGAGAGAGAGAGAGAGAGAGAGAGGAGAGAGAGAGAGAGTGTGTGTGTGTGTGTGTGTTTTGCAAGCCTATGCAGAAAGGCTGTCTACCCTTGATTAGTACAGTCTGCCAAAGAATCAGTACCAGAACAGTGACCTTTTGTGTCTTGTACATATCAGCTGCCGCTATGTTGTGCCGGTAGGGCTTGTAATTGATTCAGGTGTCAGTGAAGAATTTAGTAATAGAAAAGCCATGAGAATGAAACGTGATAGTTGTGAAAGTTACAATATCAGTGGTTTTGATGATGATAACTAGATTCACTTGAGGTTTTTTCTTTTTGTGGATGAGGCATTGGTTTTACTGGCTCCTTTAGGCCAGTTTTATAATCAGCACACACTTAAATGTTTTGGGTGTTGGACTTCTCTTAGGAGAGTTGTTGAATTTACAAAATTGTACTGAATTAATGCATTTTTATAGAATTGTGGCCCTCTCTTCATGAGCTTGAGACCTTCTTTTATTCCATTGAAAGTAGGTACAGCTGCAGCACGAAAAGAAATAATCAGAAACAAAATACGTGCAATTGGCAAGATGGCAAGAGTCTTCTCTGTTCTGAGGTAATTACACATTTTGTCTCTCCCCAGTAACCCTGTTATATTGGAAGAGAAAAATCTAATCCAGGCCATTGGATGTGAAGTGTTCTTCATGCAGATCCATAAGCAATAGCTTAGTTAAAATTCTGGCTTCACAAGTTGTTTTAAAAGGTTGCTGGTGTTGGGGTATTTGGAGAGAAAAATTTTTTATTTTGAAAGTTACCTTTGAGACCTAGAAAAAGTAGAGCATGTCTCTCTTTAATCAAACAGCTAATCACTGTGTCCTAATTACAGATGTCTGTCTGTCTGTACCTTATGAACAGATATTGAAATGACAGTTGTATAACAAAGGAGATTGGGGCTGGTTAGGAAAATGTCACGAAGCTCAGGACTATTCTGTTACAGATTTTAACACCGTACACTTCTGTAGCTGCTTAGGATTCGGGCATAATCAATTTTACTCCAAAACGTGCTTTTGCCCCAAAAACAACATAGGTCAAATAGGTATTATTTTTCAAACTTGACTCCCTCCCTTCCTCCCCCCCCACTTACAGAATCTGTGGGCCAGACTTTGAGCCACTTGATCACACTGATGAGCTGTTACTCTTAAGGGTAGTTTAATTAAAACCAATAAGACCACTCAAGTAAAAAAGGGGAAAGCAGTCTGACCCATAATTATTTTGCATATATATTAAGTTCTAGACAGAGGAAAAGACTAGTATCTAGCAGATAATTTCTTCCCCAGGTTTGAAAGTTTGCCCATAGTTAATCCTTTGAAGTTTGAGCTGTGTTAAATCTTGACATGGATAAAACATAGCAAAAATATATTTTTCCTTATTTTATTTAAATTCTTATTTAAGTGGCTTTATAGGGTTTTTTTTTTTTTTAATATTATTGCTTTTCTTCCACCATAGGGAGGAGAGTGAAAGTGTGCTGACACTCAAGGGTTTGACTCCCACTGGAATGTTACCTAGTGGAGTGTTGGCCGGAGGACGACAGACTCTGCAAAGTGGTAATGATGTTATGCAACTTGCTGTGCCTCAGATGGACTGGGCCACATCTCACTCTTTTGCTAACACTACACATAATGCATGCAGGGAATTTCTAATGCTTTTCAGTTCTTGTCTTAGCGGCTGAGATAAGCATAGTGTTATATGTTAATCAGGCAATGTGAAATGGATACCTAACCAGGGTATAAAACTAAAAGCAAATATTTAGTAGTGTTAGACCAGTCTGAGCTTCCTTAATTTAAAAATTTTCAGGTGGCACAAGTTTCTCAGATGTGGGGTGACTAATGGAATTTAGAGTAATTTGGTCATTACATTACAGAAAGTGCAATGTAATTCTTCATTTTTACTTGTCCACTTTTCATTTAAACAGTTTTATTACAGATATGTTACTAGTTTTAATTGGTAAATGTCAAATACTTTTTTGATGCTAGTATTAACAAACAGATGCAGGCTGCTGAGCTTCATTTTTCACTTCATTGACAGATTGAAATGTGCTGCGTTTTGTACCCTGGTAATTAATGCCAAAGTTTGTTCTCTATGTTGTTTGTCAAATGTTCTATGTATAATTGACTTCCCTGAATTGTCCTTGTAACATGCTGTTTCCTTCCTCTGCAGATGTAGCTGCTTTCTTAGATCTGTTTGTCTCTCTCTAGGTATAGCTGTATGTCTGTATAAGTGTTAAAATTAAACCACTTTCCCAGATACTTGTCTGTCTCTTGATGTAGACGCAACGGTGTAGCACCTTGTTTTTGAGGCTTGCTGCATTTGCTGCTGCACATTGTCTGTGCATTTTGAAGATTAATGTAATTGAAAATATTCAGTAATTGTTATAAAATCAGTTGAGAATAAAGGGATTGAATTTAAATCTTGTAAATAAGTCAAAATCAAAGGGTGTTTATTAAGTATGAATATATTTTTGCATGAAAATAAAAAGAACTCTACACAAAATATACCTGTAATCTGATTCATTGAATATTTTTGTAAAAGTTGATTTATTTTTTGTTTAAACATGGAATCAACTTTTCAGAAGACCACTACAGATTAACTAGGCATAAGAGAAATGTTATGAAACTCTTACAAAATGTGTCAGAAGGGTGAAGTCCAAATTTATGTTCATTGTGGTGGATAATTAAAATATCAGGTTGGAAACTGGACTTCACACGTGCAGCACTCTTAAGCATAAATTACTTGAATGCATTCAAACTTTCTGTCTTGGGCATTTGTATAGTACCAAAGACTATCTGGGCACTGATTTCTAGCAGTATTGAAAGATTTTGATATATAAACAGAAACACATTTTTACACGATCTGTATTCCAAGAGTAGCTGCTTTTGTCATTTTGAAATTTAAATACTTATAAAGAAAAATTCAGAAATTTCAAATCAGGTTTTTTAAAACCTTTTACTGAACTTTCAATTAATTTATCAGAGCTCTTTAATAGTTTTTAAATATAAGTCACATTTTTTAAAATAACTTTTTGATGGGTTCATGATGTCTACAAGTTAAGTTTCTATGTTCTATTTATGTATGTGATTGTTTTGTGAATGTTGTCTATAACTAATGGTGTCTGTTCCTCAATCCATCCAGAGCATTCCAAAAGAATACATTATAGTTTCAGTTTGTATTTTTGTTGTTTAGTGAGATACTCTGTTGGTTTTTTTTTAAATTGTCTGTGCTCTAATTTTCTCTCCCTCGTTTCCCAGTTTTTCTTCATATTGCATTATAAACACCAGAGAGAGGATCAAACTGACTAGAAAAACATGTTTTGTTAACATAACACATGCAACATATTACCACTAGAGGAGAAAGCTGGACATTTGGAAAGTATGCAAAGGGGAAGGGAGGGTTTGGGTGTGTGTGTGTTGTTTTTTTTTTCACTGACTCCAGAATGCTTTATTGCGGTATTCCTTGATACACTGAATCAATACATTAGCTATTTCATTCTTGTTTCACTGTTTCAAAATAATCCAATTGTTAACTTTTCTTAAAATATAATTTAGTTCTTACTGATCAACATGAACCAATTTATTTAGATTTTTATCTTGTACTAACTATGTATGCATCTTTTAAACAGAACCTATTAAAGATTTTAAATATAAATACAACACAGTTTCCAAACTACAAAAGGAAAAGTTCTGAAGTAAAACAACTATAATACAAACCTCACTAATTTACACTTTGTTAAATCATTGCAAAATTGGTGAACTCTGCACTTCTTGGCAAATATTTATTAGCCAATGTTATAGTGAGGTTTCACATTGAAAAGATTTCATTCTATATTTACCAGTATAGTATGAAATGTCATAAATAATTACAGCTAAACTACATTTTAGAAAATAAATGAACAAAGCCTATTTTGTGATGTATAATCCTTGCTTTTCTATTGTTTTTTGTTCAGTTGCTAGTTCACAAAATTCAGTAATGATCAATGGGTTTCCCAGTCACTGATGCTAATTAGCGAAGTTCTCTTGTGTTGATAATTGGAAAAATCATCTGTTTGCATCTGTATGCATTGTCAAAGCTCAATCTGCTTCCACTGGTAGTTTTTATTTTAGTGGGGTTGTATGTGGTTCAAGTGATTTGGGCTGAAACTTTTTTTATGAAAATAGATAGTGTATCCAGATATATTTGTAAAATTAATATTTACTTTAAGTACAAACACAGATATAAATAAACCAAATTAAGCATTTTGAATTGGAGCTTCAGACATGTAATTTGGACCCAACTTCAGATTTTTGGCAAGAAATACCTACAATCAGAACTGTTTCATTTTGAGATCAAACAAAAAGTGGGCACAACAGTCCTTAAAGGAACAATAAACTCTGTACTAAGTTATTAGAAGAGACTATGATGTTTAAAACAAAACAAAACAGATGATATTAGTACCTGTCAATGTACAGCTATACCTGAAATAATTTGTTCAGAGTTGGCCCCTTGGGGAAGAGCTGATTGTCTGGGATAGAATGCAGCATAGGGCACCTAAAATGATACCCAGTCTAAAGTATCTAAATTGTGAGGAAGGGTTAAACTGATTCTCTTTGCAAAATAAAAGAGACCGAGGTGTAACAACATAAATTCTAAGCATCATGTAAAGGGGTATAGTCAATAGACATATATTTATTGCTGATAAGAGCAGAGGAAACAACCTGAAAATTAGAGGAAATTGGGAATACCAGCATAATTATATCACACAAAAGGAAGTGAGCATATTAACCACTTGAGAACACCTGGATTCATTTCTGGAGGAGGGGTTCAGAGGAATTCAAGGTTGTTGGTACTGAGAGAAATTGTTAAAAGGGAAGGTATTTGGGCAATATTGCCTTTGTCTGTTTGTAACAATTATTATTTGAAGTGGAGTTAAGCATTTAATAGTATATTGCTTACATGAGCAAAGTCAGGCAACTTTATTTCACTTGTGCTTCATTACTTTAATAATGCTGTAAGATATAACTTTTCTAATGCCGTTTATTCAACGCAATGAAGTTGTCACCATTTATTTGAATTAGGGCTGTCAATTAACTGCCATTAACACTTGGGATTAACGCACAGCACAATTAACACGTTCATATTTTTAACACACGTTAATCGCAGACCCTCTGGGCGGGAGGGCAGCATGAGCTCCTCTGAGAAACCTGTTTGGTCAGGCGCAGTAACACAAGCAGCCACCAGAGAGCGGGAAGAGAAGAGGCTACAGAAAGTAAGGTAGTTCTCATCCCTGCCTTTTTAAAGTAAAAACAGGACGGTCAGGGGCTCGCTGGAGCGCGCCCACACACACACCCCACAGGGCTCACTGGAACCACCCTCCCCATGCCTCCCAGGGCTGGGGCTGACCCCCTACCCCCACCCACTCTGTGCCACCTGCAGCTGGGGCTGAATCCCATGCTGCCCGCAGCTGGGGCTGTCCCGCTGAGCTCTGCACTGCCCACGGTGGGATCTCCCCTCCCCCCCCATCCTGAGCTCAGGGGCAGACCCCCCCACCCCCGAGCCATGTGCCATCTGCAGCTGAGGCTGATGCCTCCTTCTGTGAGCCACGTGCTGTCTGTGGCTGGGGCTGACCCTCCACCTCAAAGCCCCGTGCCACTCGGGACTGGGGCTGACCCCACCAACCCCAAGCTCCATGCCTCCCCCAGCTGAGGCTGATTTTCCCCCTCCCACCCCGAGCTCTGTGCCTCCCCCAGCTGAGGCTGACTTCCCCCTCCCTCCCCCCCGAGCTCCGCGCCTCCCCCAGCTGAGGTTGACACCCACCCCCGAGCTCCGCGCCACCCAGGGCTCCGAAGCCAGCACTGCCTGCCAGCAGCAAATTTCTCCAATTTCTTGCTGGTGGGCTCTGCTGCCTTCAGCTGATCCCCAGGCAGCAGCCACCTCTCTCTACTCTGCTTTGGAGCTGGGACAAATACCCAGTTTTGGCGAAGAAGTAGGGATGGCCGGGACAGAGCTGAAAAAGGGGACTGTCCTTGCCAAAACATGACATATCACCCTAGCCATCCCGAGCCCTGTTGTTCCCGGCTGACCCCTCACTCCTGGGACCAACCCCCCTGAATCGTGCCCATTTGCGCCGAGCTGGCCGCTCACTCCAAGGGTGTACCCCTCTGGCGAGCTCAGCCTCCCTGCACCAGCTTCTCCTCCCCTGCAGTATGAGGAGTCCCTGAGGTAAAATCCACCTTCCCTTGCAAACAAGGGCTCACTCAGCTGAAGGGAGCCCTCCTAGCTCAGTAAAAGGAGGCAAGCCCAGTACCAGAAACCACCCTTCCAGAAGCAGCAGCAAGACACCTCCCTCACCCTCCTCCTGCACAAGTTATTGCTTACTCCCCCCTCCTTGTCCTCCCCCAACACGGAATGCTTGTTTGTCTGAGTAATTGGCTGAACAAGAAGTAGGACTGAGTGGACTTGTAGGCTCTAAAGTTTTATTTTAGTGCAGTTATTCTTTTTTACGTAATTCTACATTTGTAAGTTCAACTTTCATGATAAAGAGACTGTACTTCAATGAGGTGAATTGAAATTTCTTTTTTACAGTGCAGGTGTTCGTAATAAATATAAAGTGAGCAGTGTACACTTTGTATTCTGTGTTATAATTGAAATCAATATATTTGAAAATGTAGAAAACATCCAAAAATATTTAAATAAATGGTATTCTATTATTGTTTAACAGCGCGGTTAATCGCAATTAATTTTTTAATCGCTTGACAGCACAAATTTGAATGGGAGTTAGCATTCTGATTAACTGAGGTCCTGATTCAGCAAGAAACTTAAGCACATGCCTAACTTTAAGCTTGTGAGTAGTCCCAGTGAAATCAGTTGGTCTGATCAAGTACTTTGGTGATCTTAGCTCTTGGATACCACTCTGATCGTTACTTAGAGGAATGGGAAGATACTTTTTTATTGGCCTAAGTGTTGCATCAGCACTGACTTTTTATCAAGAGGGGAGTCTTAGAACTGCAGAAGATATAAAATATCATGCCACCTGTCCTTGAATGTCCCCACTTAAAATCCCCAGTGAAGCTAACTGAGAATTTTGCTTCAATAAGGATTTCAGAGTTGGATCTATTAATATGCTGTGGTTCTGTTGCTAGGTTTATCAGGGTTTATTAAGGATTTCACTTGTAACTTAGCCCTGGTCTACACTGGGGAGATCTATCTAAGTTATGCAACTTCAGCTATGTGAATAACATAGCTGAAGTCTACGTACTTAGATCTACTCACCACGGTGTCTTCACTGCGGTGAGTCGACTGCTGACCCTCCCCCGTCGACTCCGGCTGCGCCTTTCAGCCTGGTGGAGTACAGGAGAGCACTCGGGGGTTAATTTATCACGTCTAGACTAGATGCGATAAATCGACCCCCGCTGGATCGATCGCTGCCCGCCGATCCAGTGGGTAGTATTAGACATACCTTTAGAGAATCTGAGTAAAAATTTTACAATTGTTTTTATTGTGTTGTATTTTAAAAGCAATTATATTTTCTAATCAGTTTGTTCCTTTATGCTCAGTGTAACACACTGCCTTTCTTATTTCAAATCAATTATATATATCCTGAGATCTCTCTGGAATAACGGAGAAGTAGAATTAATTAAGTAATAGGTTTTGAAATCTGTACATATGACAAAACTACATAATTTACAGAGGCGAAGCAGTATCTATGATCTTTTAAGAAAAAGATTGAAAACAAAGGCATCATGGGTAACAAGAATGATGAAGAGAGGTTTAGTGCTGTATTTATGTGGCAAACTGGCAGAATAAAAAGATAAGAAGGAATTTTATGTTTGGTTAGCTTTTAAGATATTCCTGAAAGTAATTTAATTTTTGCTGTTTGGGAACAAAAAATTTGTTTTGGTCATAAACATGGAAAATAACCATTCACACAAGTGGCTCTAATCCTGAGATATCTTCTCTTTGCATTTGAGGACAGGAAGCTTTTTGTAACTCTAAATATAAAGGTTGTAAAAGTACTGTATTATGCATGCAAGGTATTATTAATACAGATGACTGTAGAAATTGTAATTATTTGTAAACTATGATTTTAAATCATAATGTAGGTAATATATATATATATTTGTTTTCTATTTACTTTCTTATTCAAATTATACTTCACTAATTTAAAGAATTCTGAAAATCTGTTCTGATGGAATCACAAATTAATCATTTCTGTCTTGCTTCCCCAAGATTTACTTTAATACCTATTTCATTCCAATTTCTTTTTTGTTAAGAATCCATTTAGCAAACAAGTTGTTAGCACTGTGTAAACCGTCCGTTGAATGGAGAAACTTCTTAAACTTCTGGGTGCCACATTTCAGGAAAGATGTAGACAAATTGGAGAAAGTGCAGAGAAGAGCAATAAAAATGATTAAAGGTCTAGAAAACATGACCTATGAGGGAAGATTGAAAAAATTGGGTTTGTTTAGTCTGGAGAAGAGAAGACTGAGAAGGGGACATAAGTTTTCAAGTACATAAAAGGTTGTTACAAGGAGGAGGGAGAAAAATTGTTTTTCTTAACCGCCGAGGAAAGGACAAGAATCAATGAGCTTAAATTGCAGCAAGGGCGGTTTAGGTTGAACATTAGGAAAAACTTCCTAACTGTCAGAGTGGTTAAGACTAGAATAAATTGCCTAGGGAGATTTTGGGATCTCCATCATTGGGGATTTTTAAGAGCAGATTGGACAAACACTTGTCAGGGATGGTCTAGATAATACTTAGTCTTGCCTTGAGTGCAGGGGACTGGACTAGATGACCTGTCAAGGTCCTTTCCAGTTCTATAATTCTATGATTCTAAATGACTGTTTTGGAGATAGGATTGATGGAAGGGAGATGCACAGAATTACTTATGATCATTAGTGAAATTTACTCAGTTTTTCACTGTAAAGATTTAGTAATAAGTGGTTTATACAGGAAGGCTGTACTAAAAAAAGATGGCTAAGGTCTTGGTAGTCTTATTAGACCTAATAATTTTGCATTAAGGCAGACAACTTTGTAGGTTGTATAGTCACATTTTGTACAAAATATGAACTTGGAGAATCCTTAAATATAAAAAGTTACAGCTGTTTACACAGCTACTTAACTTTAGAAACACTAACTGGTCAATCAGGGCTATGTCTACACTACCGACCCTGTGCCACTGTATGGTCTCCCAGGTAGCTGCTCTATGCTGATGGGAGAGAGCTCTCCTATTGGCATAATTAAACCACCCCACAATAAGCGGCGGTAGCTATATCAGCGGGAGAGTGTCTCCTGCCAACATAGCACTGTCCACACCAGCACTTCCGTTGGTGAAACTCATGTTGCTCAGGGAGGTGGTTTTTTCATACCCTTTACCGACAAAAGTGCTAGTGTAGACATAGCATAGATCTTTGAAATGTTGACATTGTAAATTCATCCATCCACCAAAGTATATGAATGTGTTTGTCCAAAGTTCCTCCAGCTATAAACATCATGGTTTACTTCCCTAAACGTGAGTTGCTGTTTGTCAGTTTGTAAATGTGACCTGTTAGATTTTGTTTGTATGCTCTAATATCTGAATTTCGTTTCATGAATTCAATTTGAATCACAGTATCACCTGTTTGCTCAGAATTCAATGCTAAAATCCAAGTACTGAGTTCAGCTTCTGAGTGCAAAAGATGTGTGCAAGGACCATTGTGTCAAACATTAAATAAAAAGCTAAAATCCACTTGTACTAAATTAGTATTTTGTCTTACTAATAAAACACTGACGGTCTTAACTTTGCTCCTTTATAACCTCTTTCTTGGTAACATAGAGTCCAGTAAAGTGCTATGGACCTTCAAAGAATTTGTAGAACCTAGTTGAAACCAAAATATGCCCCTAAACTTTACAGTATTTAGGGTTGTATATTAGTTTATGTAAAGAAATAATCAACCAATTATATACGATTAGGTAGATTAAGTTGCATTATATGAGTGTTGCATTTGATAAACTGTCACTTGAGATATAGGAGTCACTTCACTTCAGTTTAAAAAAAAGTCTTAACTTTCACTGTAAAATATTTGCAATCAGATCTGGGCTTGGGTGATATATTAAATTGATCATTGCCTTTTCTGCTATGCGATATTACACTCTTCATCTTTCTCATTCATTTTGCATGCATCTGCTCACTTCTGTACAGCCACAGTAGAGGCAATTGAGGCTGAAAAAGGTATGATCAGAGTCTTTGCCAGTGGCAGAGATCTGTGGTGTCTGGGCGGGAATTCAAAAGTATTCTGTGTGCATGTGTCTTACATTCAACTTGCACAACCAGAGATGAATCAACTGTATTAATTCATCCTTTTTACATGTAACATTCATTTCTTGCCTTAGGATAATAACTTCCTTTAATAATGTTTCAGAGAAATCATTTTGTTTTTCTCCAGTTTCTTTACAAAATGTGCAATAGTTTTTTTGCTTTTTATTTGTGTAAAGCATGTTGTGATATGTGGTTTGTGTCTTGACAACTTTAAAAAGTGGTAGTGTTGAATTTTATTTTTTCTGAATTACACTGCAGATATGTTTTGAGTTGGAGGTGGGGGTTATTTATGCATGTTTCTTTTGATGAAGTTTATTTTTAGTGGCTTGAAACCTAATCTTGTCATCACTTTCCATAACACATCTGGTAGTGCAAGACCTATCATTACAGTGTTCCTATTTTTACTATGTGATTTTGAAGGTAGTTTGCTGACCAAATTTGTTTATAGTCTGTACACACACCTGACAATGAAAGGCATAGCAAAATACAGGGGTTGCCAATGCTGCTGTACCAAATATGTTGCTGTACAGGCACCCTTTGTTAATGTTAATGTCGTTACAACTCCATACGATTTTAGGGTATGTAAATAAAAGCCTTTTACATACACAGTTTGATTTCCTATATCACAATGTTAAATGACGTGAATGACAAACAGCATAGCACTTGGGAGACCCTCCTTAGTATGTTTCAAATTTGGTCGCAAAACACCATTTAATGACTACTTTTTTTATATTATGGAAATCAGATATCCAAAAATGTTACCAAGAGCCAAATTCTGTTCCATTGTAATCAGTGGATACTGCATGCACACATAAAACAGAAAATTTTGTTCCTAAGACTTCAGGCTTTTCATATGATCAGCCATTTTTACATCTAAATGCAGCTGAGTAAGAAGGCATTTCCTATTTCATTTAAAACGATGTGTAGAAGAGTAATATTTAGTTTCCTGTTTAAAGCAATTCCCAACTGATGACTTCTAAGACTGGTCATGTCCATTTCAACCATCCACATGATTAGAACAGAGTTAAAGCCATATTCTGCAGTTTTGCCTGCATGAACACTGCAGGATCAGGACGTTGATTTGTATGCAAAATCTGAAGGCTTTTTTTTTTTTTAAAACTACTTGTGCTGCTTTGCCTTCACTGCACTTGCTGATCTGCTTATTGACATTCCATTGACGTGAACGGGATGTTAAGATGAGCCTGATATACACTGCAGCAAAGCAGTTGTTAGCACTGATCACACCAGGAGTGCTCAGCAACAAAGTAGGTTTAAGCCACCTTGATTCTTACCTGAAAAATATTTGCCATATACTATTTTGATTGTCAGTTGAAATCATGATTGCCATTGAACATTCCAGGAAAGCACATTAGATAAGCTTTTACTAATTCAGTTGTAGAGCCATAAAAGTTCCTTTGGCTAATTTCTTAGCTGTCTTTTAAAATCATTTTATTAGAAAAAGTATATACTTTCAACTTATTTTTCTGTTACTGACCTATGAAATTTGCATTTTGTTAAGCAATACGAGGATTTTCTCCGCAACATAAAATCTGCAGTTTTGAAGAAGCAAAAGGTTTGGATAGGATCAATGAGAGAATGCCACCGAGAAAAGATGCTCCTCAGCAAGATGGTATTAATTCTGTAAACACAACAAATGCCAATGGAAACAATGGAACTGGCAACAACAATGTACAGTGACCACACCAACTTCTGGTTTTACTCGTATGTCTTGCCTGAGAATTCCTAGATTACTGCTTTTTGACATGACAACAGATGAAATAGCCAGGGGATCAATCAGTCAAACTGACTTCTTAATATGATGTGGAAAACATAACTTGATCCCGCTGAAGACAAACCATCATGCTTTTGAGGCAACAGCCCCTCTCTATAAGTGATGACGGAACATCTGTGAGCATGCTTCATATATTTACAGAAATTCCAACATTGCTGGCTGAATATTGAGGAGAGCTATGGGGAAATGGTTGGGCTGTTATCAGTAAAGCACATCTAGACTAGCGTTTTATGCTTATCATAGTCAACACTTTAAGTTTACAAAATGGGATTTTCTTTTCAGCAGAGCTAATTTGTTTGTTTGTTTTTCAATCAGACTTTCAAATACAACCCTAAGAGCTACTATTTATTAATGGACATTGGTTTCATGAAGTGTCTTTAAAAACATAGATTAGAATAGTCTTAAAAAAATCTGAGGCTGCAAAAACTATATGTTAAACGAATGGAAAAAATGCCAAAAATCTCAGTTGGTCATTCTGTAAAATGCTGACCTCAGGTGTACTCCTTAGATGTTGCTAATTCTGTATTATATTCACTGTATTTTTTAGTTAAAGCTTATCAGAAGATTTCTATGTAGGAATGTTTATTACTTGAACACAGATTTTAAAGTATTTAATGTAGAAACTTTTATGCCCAGCTTTTGAGACTCTCCCCACACCTTGAATTTAAAATGTATATAAATAAATTTTAGAAGTCTGAAAAATAATGCAATTGTTAATTTTAAGGTACTTTGAACTTTGTACATTATGTTAAAGTACATTTTGATTCATATCAAGTCTGTAAAGCTTGGCATTGTATTTTGTGTATGCATGTTTTCATTTTGCAAATATTTAATATATAGACCTCTGATGTACAGGAACAACATCTATAGGTTATATAGATGTTATGGGTACTTTTACTTTATTGTGAGTATTAAAGATGCTTAAATAGCTAATAATCACTGGGCAGGCTGAATAGCTGCAAGCTTTTTATTATTTTTCTTAATTCTGTAAAGGAAACTGAAAATGTTATTGAAATATTTATGCAGTACATAAGCAATTGTTCTGTTCAGTTGTAAGGCATTAGTGAAAGTGTAAAATCGAGACTGCATGTTTTTTTAGCTACAGGACTGCTTGGTTAAACTAAAAATTGAAACCATATGCTGATTTGTTCACAAATAATGAACTGTACTGTTTGCCACTGTACTTCGTTATATATTTTGACATTTGCTACCTACCTTTCTCATCCCCTGGAACACAACTTGAAACTTAAGTCACTAGAGTTCATCTCCCTTTTTGTTTGCCATAAAGTACAATCTCTAGAAACCCCTGTCTAAGTTGAAAATTTTATGCATGTTCTGAAATATTCAAGTATTTTATAAACAGTAGCACACAATAAATTTTGTGCATGGGCTGCTGCTTCTAACATCGTGTTTTTGTTTTATTATTTTGAACAGTATTTTTCTAAATCATTTTAAATTGGCAGAAAAATGGATATAGTGTAAATGGTCACTTAGTTCAGCTTTAAAGCAATACTTTAAAGCAATATAATTGAAGCTTAAATTGTCATCTTGAATTTCTGCTTCCATTTATTTTGCTAATTTTCGTTTAGCGAGTTCTTGCAAATAAAATACTTCAGAATTTTTCTCGACATTAAATTTGACATCCAGTGATGATTTGTACAAACCTACAAGGAAGGTCAATATTAGGGTTCATTCAAGTTTTTTTTAAAAAGCTGTTCATTATTGAGGCCTTTTGTATTTGCTCAGTGGTTGTGAATGACCATTTGTGATGTCAAGTAAGGTGGCTTATTTGAGAGTCAATAGTTGATAATATGATAAGGTTGAATCTTGCTAGTCTGTTTTGGTTGAAGGTAAATGAGAAAATCTACTAAAAAAGACTATTCTGAACTGTAAACCTATTCTGGTTTTACTTTATTTATTTTAGATGCAGTTTAACTGGAAATAGTGATGAACAATCTGAACACAGAAGACCAAGTGACAAACAAAGGTAAGTGTTATCAGTAGACATAATTCATGGGCTATGTAGTCTCTGACATGTGACACTGGGACAGAGCAAAATTTGCACCAGTATCATAAACGTATAAATAGGGGCCTGTCAATTTCATGGTCATAGGATTTTTAAAATCATAAATTTCATGATTTCAGCTATTTAAATCTGAAATTTCACGATGTAATTGTAGGGATCCTGACCCAAAAAGGAGTTGTGTGTGTGGGGGGGTCACAAGGTTATTGTAGGAGGGGTTGCAGTACTGCTACCCTTACTTCTGTGCTGCTGCTGCTGGCAGCGGCGCTCTCTTCAGAGCTGAGCAGCTAGAGAGTGGTGGTTGCTGGCCGGGAGCCCAGCTCTGAAGGCAGAGCCGGTGCACTGCTGCTGGTGGCAGAAGTAAGGATGGCATGGTATGGTATTGCCACCCGTACTTCTGTGCTGCTGCTGGCAGGACGCTGCCTTCAGGGCTGGGCGCCTGGCCAACATCCCCTGTGTCGCCAAGCTCTGAAGGCAGAGCAGAAGTAAGAGTGGCAATACCATGATCCCTCTAAAATAACCTTGTGACACTCCTCCTGCAACTCCCTTTTGGGTCAAGACACCCAATTTGAGAAACACTGGTGTCCTGCCATGAAATCTGTATATAGTATAGGGTAAAAGCACACAAAAGACCAGATTTCATGGGGGGAGGGACACCAGATTTCATGGTCTGTGACGCATTTTTCATGGCCGTGAATTTGGTAGGGGCCTAGGTATAAAAATTTAACCTAGACGATGGTCTGCCAGTGCTGCCTTTTTGATGGTGTGAATTGGAAAAATCCACCAATCCTCAGCCAATTGTCTTTAACTGATTGGTTCTCTATGACCAGTTTTGATAAGGTAGTATTCCAAACATGCACGAAATATAATACAATTAAAACTCATACTCTCTGTGAATACAATCCCCAGGCTTCGGATGATCCCAGCATATGTGGTGAGCAACACCAAAGCCTAATGTAATTTGAAAATCTTAAAAGCCTGTTAAAAATAGATATGCTTTATTGAGATTGTTTTTTTTTACTTTACTAGAACACCTTTAGGCAGAGAAATCTGCCTCTGGGTGGGTAACTGGATTTTAAGAAGGTAATCCTTTCACATAAATGAAGATGTCCTCCATCTTATCTCTGAAAAACATTCTTCCAGTAAAAGGCAGATAAAGGAGCAACTCCTGAATATGCCTGAGACTGAATACTCTGAGCTGTGTATACTTATCAATAGTGTCCCAGTCAGATGCATTAAACATCTCTCAGTGGATGTATTGTCATCTCCATTGTTGTATGCAGTGTTGTTGTAACCATGTTGGTCCCAGGATATTAGAGAGACAAGGTGGGTGAGTGTCAGAGTCACCGGGTCAATGCTCTGGAACTACTCCCTATGAAGCCAGCCAGGACTCTGAGGAGCCTCCTCTCTCTGAGCATACTGTCGCCAGGACAAGAAGCTTACACAGCTTCGACCTTCTTGAGTCTGACCTTGGAGCATTCAGCATTCCCTTCCACACCATGTGCTTCTCGCAGCAAGTCCGCCTGGGCAGGTTTCCTGGGGAAGGCAGAGGGCCCTGCCCCCCAACTCCACAGTCAGTGACTCTCAGCCAGCCAGTAAAACAGACGTTTATTATTTGACAGGAACACAGAATAGAACAGAACTTGTTAGCACAGAAATCAGTGACTTTCAGCCAAGTCCATCTTGGGGAGTCCTGGGCCAGAAGCTCTGTACTCCCCCTCTTCCAGTCCCCCCAAGCAGTCTGCCAGCTTCCAGTGACCCGACCTCAGACATCCCCATTGCTCCTCCTCCTTGTCTTTGTCTCACTTTCAGGGCAAAGAGTCACCTGGTTGCATCCCCCTACTAGGTCTCAGGTTACGAAGGGCACTGGTCATAGCATACATGCAGGCAGCTGGAGCAGCCTCACTTGCCCCAGAGGGTCTCAGCCAAAGTCACACACCCCTATTCCCATCACCGAGGTATTGGTGCGGCACACAATATTCATGCAAAACAGTAAAACTCACATAAGCTAAACAGTAAGACTCACATACAACATAAAAAGGGAAAATCCCCACTTCCTCACAGTGAGATAATATCTTTTATTGGACCAACTTCTGTTGGTGAGAGAGACAAGCTTTTGAGTTACACATAGCTCTTCTTCAGGTCTAGGAAACGTACTAAGAGTGTCACAGCTAAATAGAAGGTGGAGCAGATTGTTTAGCATAAGTAGTTAACACATTTCATAACTTCACTAGACACTAAAAATCATGGACTGAATAGAGACTGGATTTATGGCTTGTTACAACAATCTGTAACCCACTAACAAGCTCCCTCCCTCCCCCCCCCAGTGTGAGCCTGAATGTCTACACAGCAATTTATCAGCCCTGTGGCATGAGAGTCAGCTGATTCAGGCCATCCACAGTTTTTTTTCAATGCCTATGTAGACATACTCTTGAGTACATTTCCCAGGCCTGAAGAAGAGCTCTTTGTAAGCTCGAAAGCTTGTCTGTCACCGACAGAAGTTGGTCCAGTGAAAGATATTACCTCACCCACCTTGTCTCTCTTGTCATCTCCATACATTTGATCTTCAGGATGAGGTTTTTTGTTTGTTTTTGATGCCCTCCTGCTTATTTTGGGGATGAAAATCTGAACTCTAGCACCATCCAGTCACATTTCAGCAGGAAATCCTTCTGATTTGTCAATGTGAGTGTTCAGCTTTGTCAGTTTCTAAATGTGTTTATCCACATACCTGTCACATTACTGCACCTGCTTCCAGAAAGCATCCAGATTTGGCCCTAAGTGCTATCTATTGCCAGACTGCTGTAGAACAGGTGTGAATAAAACAAAGCTGAATTTCAGTGTGTGGTGGTGCTTAAACATTGAGAGAGTGGGTTTGAAAAGCCTGTTCAATCAAGCAGAGAGAGGCTGCATGTTACTGTCTACTCCTGAGAAACAACTAGTTCTAGGAATACACCTAACTCTGTCCTTGTATCTCAGAGCAGTTCTCCAAAGTTAATATATAGCCTGAACCTAACAAATTAGGGAAAATAAGTTTCCAGAGGGTAGGAACTGTCCCTTCAGCTCATTCCACTGAAGGTATAGGGGATATGTGAAATATTTTCTGAGGAATCACATTCCAACTCAGTCTTATCTCACTGTACTGCAAACTTCTCTAATAATGCAAAAGGCGAAGGTAGAAGAGTTAACCCTCATGCAGTAAAAGCATGCATGATGCCCATAGTTCAGGAGAGGACATACACATCAATGCCAATTAAATTTAAAAAGCCACAGATCTTGAAGCCCCAATGTTGAGATCAAGCATGAGTTGACATCTTTAGCAAAGACTTCTCTGCCTTAATTAAATGTTCATGATGCTCTTATACCTGAGACTGTTCTGTCTTGATTCTCGGAGAGGGAGAAACTACCACCTTTTTGCAGGAGCCACACACAACTCCAGTTAAGGGAATAATTGCAAATGACATTTTGATGAAAATCTTATCTTCCCTTTGCAGAGTTTAATTGATCATAAGAATCCAGAACATACAGAAATCCTGAAAGTGGATTGCCAGCTCTTCTCTGATTGTGCATCCAAGATGCTGATGTAGAAAAATTTAGATGTCATGTGTACTATCGATGCGGTGTTATGCCTTGGCTGCTATATCTGATGGCCTAACCCACAAAACAGGAGCATGCAGCCTAGTGGTCAGAATCCTTTGGGCTACCCTTGCTCTCAGAGCGCGTGACCTAGCAATTGGTGTTCTTTGGGCTACTCTTGCTCACAGGGCAGCATGACCTAACAGTCAGAGCAGACTGAGCTACTACGCAGGGTCACAGGCCCTCCAGCAGGGTGGAGCACCAAACAGTCTGGGGAGCTCAGGCCCTCAGGCAGGGCGGCAAACAAACGCAGGCCTTTTGGCCTTGGGTAGAGAGGCTGTCCCCTGCATGGGTGGGGTGGCACTACGGGGTAGGGGGACCTGGGCCCACCCTACTCCACCAGTCCCAGCCCAGGGCCCTAACAGCAGTGGATGGTTCCACCACTGGGTCAGCGAGGATCCAGCTAAAACACGCTGACAGGTTTCCTGGTCCTATTTCCCATGAGTCACTTCCTCCCCTGTCTTTCAGTGCTGCTGTCCTCTGGGTCCCTGGGGTTGTTGGCTGGCGAGATCTCTGACAGCTCAGTTCCCTTCCACGTCTCCGCAGGCAGTCCGGGGTCTGCCTGGGGTTCAGGGTGCCTGGCCTCTGGGGAGTGGTGCTCCCGTAGCTCTCTAGAGGAAGCTTGCAATACACATCCTTTGTCCTCGGCAGTCCAGCCCAAGTGAGCTAGGCTGCTTCCCTTTACACCCTGTCTCCATGCTGAGCATGCCCAGCAGTGGTGGAGGGGTGGGGCTTCCTCAGCCTGCA